TCTTAAATGATTCAGTTGTGTGAATCATTTGCTTTTGATCAAATGAATCATTCTCTCATGAGGACTCCAAGGATGGCTTGTCTTTCTGTCCCAAGTGAACATTAATGCTGACCTATCCAAGATTAAAAGTGAATAAAATCAGACAGAAATCTGAACTCCCACAACAAAGCTGTAAAAGAACATCAAGAAAATCCAACACAAGCAGCAGATTCAGCAAATAAGCTTGCATGTGTTTTTTTTTCCAAGTTTCAGAGTTATTTAACTGCAGTTTCTCCTTCTTCTTCAGCCCATGTTGAAAGAGGTGTGTGCCTCATGCCTGCAGCCTGTCTACTCCGTGGAGCGTGTGGTCACTGACAAAGTCTGCCTGCACCACTCGTGCTTCTGCTGCAAGATCTGTGGGAAGAAGTTGAGGTGAGTGGTAGGACCCCAGGTCCATTTATTTTTAAGGGATGTCCGAGTAGTTTCCATCAGAATGGCCTGGTGGTAATTCCAGGGGGGTGAGCTCGAGGTAACAGGGAAGGGCAGTTTCCTTGATACAAATTTCCTCTCCATGCTTAGTCTGAAGACTGCTCACCCCAAGCTTGTGTACACCTGTGAATCTGCAATCTGCACGGTGGTGCAAGGGTGAGGTGCAAACACGAGAAATATTTTCACGTTGGGAATGCTGATAGGGATTTTAATTGCAGGAGTAGTCGGGGTGCTTCACATGTTCACAGAGTCGGGTGGGTGAGAAGGAAGCTCTAGAATCCTCCACCCAGCCTCCTGCAGGTCCAAGGGGGCAGGTTGCTCAGGGCCACAACCGTGAGGTGTGTATGGTTCCAAGGTCAGAGATACAACAGCCTCCTGGTTGCAGCCACTCTTTCAAGACCTGATCGCCAGTGAAAATGTTCTGTTCCTATATCTAATCACGATTTCCCATGTTTACAAGTTGTTCTTATTGCCTCTCATTCTGTTACTACACCTCCTCTGACCCTCCCACAAGATAGACACACAGCAACGAGATCCTCTCCTTTAACCTTGCCATCGTAACACAGCTAACCCAGCTCTCAGCCTGTCCTTATATCACACACTCCAGGTCCCAAACCACTTTGGTGGCCCTTCACTGGACTTCTTCCACTATATCAATGGTTTTCTTGCACTGGGAGCCCAAAACTGGATAGAAAACTACATATGTGACCCCACAAGCACCAAACGGAGAGGAACAGTCACTTCTCTTGACCTGCTTGCTGGGCTCTTAGTAATGAAGTCCAGGATGTTGGTTGCTTTGTCACGAGGGCACACTGCTGGCATGTTTTCTGTTTGTGACTCCCCAAGGAACCTTTTCTGCAAGGCTCTTTGTTGTCTTCTTGCCCCCCAGTCTGTGCAGACACATTCTCTTATCATGCAGTCATTGTATCACGGGAGCCCTGTGAATTTTTACCCATATGGGCCATGCTCTTTATACAAGGGGAGAGATGGAGCCCTGGTGTGAAGCCTGGCTGATAACAGAGAAAGGGATCTCACATAACCTGGTCCACAGCTCCCCAAGGTATTGCAAGGAAATGTTTAATTTTTCACGTGTTTCAGTTTTTGAAAGAAAAAATCAAACATATCCTCAGCAAACAGACACTGCTTTTGAAAGGCTTCATTCTTCAGACCCCCCCTCTTTTCCCCGACAGTTTCCAGTTGCAAAACAATTTTGCTGCAAACCTGTCTGTCAGCGCTACTGCTAATCCTCCCCTCCCACACACCCTCTAACAACTCTGCCAATGTGTTGTTTTCCAGCTTGCAAAACTATGCTGCCCTCCGCGGGGTGTTTTACTGCCAGGTCCACTACAAGCAGATGGCTGGAGCTGAAAACAGAAGCGAGGCAAGGAGGCTGGAGCAACAGCTCGGGGACCATCAGGTTCAGCGAGCAGCAGCGGTGGGCAGAGAGGCACAGCCCCAGGGCTGGTACAACAGGGCCGAAAATAAGACTGAAGGAAGAAGGAAACCCACATCCTTCAATGCACAGTGCAGCTTGCAGCTGGCTGAGCAAAGGCGAGAGCTGAACAGCAGGCCTGTGCTCTTAGGGAACAAGCTCAGGACCAGCTGGCCACCTTCAGAAACAGCCTTGTTGGCTGGAGATGGAAAAGATGGGAATTTTTCCTGGAAAAAGCCCACACTGAGCTTGCAAACTGGCCGGGCTGCGGGCAATGAGGAGAGCAGGATGGTGCTCGGGGTTCAGAAGGGAAGAACAGCAGTGGAGGCAGCCGTGAAGAAGGGAAGCTTCCTACCTGGTGTCACCTACCCTGAGAAAAGACAGCAAGCGTGTTCCTGGCCTAAGCCTGGAGAACGGCGAGATGGTGAGAAGAAGCTGGCATCTGGGGGCAGGGATGTACCCGGGGAGAAACGAGGGGGCAAGGTGACCCAGCGAGTTGCTGCGTTCCAGCAGGGCAGGGTCCAGGAGCAGAGAGGGTCTGTGTCTGCCTCCTCCCCCGTGCTCCTGGAGCCTGTTAAATCTGTGACACATCAGAGCACCAAACCCACCAACTGGAGGTACCTGGGGACCAAAGGGGGCTGCAGCCTGCCCACAGCAGGGCTGCCGGTGAAGGAAAATGAGGTCCGTGGGTCTCTCTTGCCACTGAGCACGTCCAACGAAGGAGGCATAACGCCTGCAGTGACAGATGACAAGCTTGAACAGACCACAGCCACCCCAAACACTGCAGGGGGCAAGCATCATCTTGGAGAGACAATGAGCAGCCCACAGCCGGTCTGTGTGCCAGGAGAGCTGGAAACCAGAAACACCACAAATATGGAGCCAAAATACAGAGCTGAGGGGGATGATCCCCCTGAATACAAAGCTGAAGACCAAGCTTTCTGCCTCTCTGGTGTGCCAGGGAGCCCCAGTGTAGCATCCAGCTCCCTGGAGCCAGGAGGACTGAGTGCATCACCTGAGATAGCTGAGCTGGTACATGAGAAATCAAAGACAAATGTTGATGAGTTTCCTGGAAAACAAACACCGGTGAGTCTGGAGGAATACATGCTGCTATCCAGTGTAAGTCATTTGCCTGAGGTTGAGAGCAAAGGGGTGGAATTTGAGAAGACCAAAGAAACGAAACCATCAAGTACATTGGGGTTTCTGGAAGAACCCAGTCCTGAGCACACATTTCTGGAAGAGACACCAGAAAAGAACAGAGCACCTTCACCTGGTTTGCCAGAGAAGACAGATGACCCCGATGTGCCCCGGCTACAAGAAACAGAACCTCAGGCCACGTGTAACCCGCTGATGGATAACCCTCACGGGGATATTCTGGTCCATGATGTAAAATCACCTGGAAAGGATTTTCCAGTATCAGCAGACATGCCTTTGAAAGGAACCTGCGCCACTTGGCCCTCACCTGATGAAGCTGACAACTCCAAATCAAAGGATCCAAGTGAAGTTCTTGATGGAAACACCTTTAACATTTCTGAGCAACCAGTCAAGAAATTCGACTCTTCCAAACTGAGTGAATCCTCAGACAAACATGGGGGTCATCGAGAAGGTGAAGAAAAAATGGAACTGAAACACCCAGGGGAAAGCACTGTGCACACATCAAGATCTGGTGACCAAAGCAAAGAGACCAGAAGCAGCCAAGCCAGGACAGAGGTGTTGGGTAAAGGTCTCAGGCTTGGGAAAAACCCCTTCACTATGCTTTTTGGTTCTGAAGACAAAGGCAGTGCTCCCAAGAAGGAAACGAGCCAAAGGAAACCCACGAAGCCCCAATCAGCCCTTGTCACTTTGTTTGGTTACTCCTCAGAGAAGAAGCAGAGTCAACAAGAAAAGCCTGCAAGATCCTCAGAACAAACGGATGCTGAAAACAAGCAGGAAAAGCCCCAGGGCCAATTCAGCTCCTCCAGCCAAGCAAAACAAAAGGCCTCCAAAAATGATCAGCTGCCACAGCCAGGGAAGACAGAGGTCATCCCCAAAGATACGCAGGAGAGTTCTGGAGGCTGCTCAGATACCACCGAGGGCAAGGAGACCAATATCTTGTTGTTCCCTCCTGGTACAAACATTTCATGTGATGATAAACACCAGGGAACTGAACTTGAAATTCGTGACGAACCAGCTTCAGACAGGCAGGTTCAGCAGCTACAGGAGAGCTGCTGGCCCTCTCTCATGCCAGCAAAGGAAAATCAGAAAGAAGATGCAGCAGACATTGAAGGTGGAACAAACCCTTTCCATCCTCCTCCAGAGCTTACGCCTGCAGCTGATACCAGCAAAAAACTCACAAGGAAAGGAAGTCGTCGTGATGTTCATCTACTGGAAATTCAGAACTTACCGAGTTTGGATATCCAGGACACAAAGGTAGAGGATGGGATTTTTTCTTCATCAAGCAATTTAAGAAAGTTACCTGAGGAAGCTGAGCTTCAGTTAGACAACATGGATCTTCTGGAAGACAGTAACGTTCTCCTAACTGTAGAAAACAAAGGACAAGATTTTCCCGGGATGGCGAGTAAAATCCCAAATTTAGGCTTGCAAAATTCACCGACGGGAACTTCACCTTGCTTTGATCCGAATCCTTCAGAACTGTGCCAGGAAATCCTGGCAAGTGCTCCACTAGAACCGTGGGACCCCTCCAGCTTCCCCTTTCTCGTTGGACAAGATGAGATTGTTACTGGAGGCTCAGAAGGGATTCAGGGCTGTGCACTGCTGCAGCACTTCGATCCGCAGTACCAGGCCCCAAAGGCTGCAGAAGATGCATTTGGATCGGGTTGTAGTGCTGAAGGCTCAACAAACAAACACCTCTCTGTGCAGGAAGGCAGTTTTCCTCCACTGTACATGATCACCAGCCATGCTTCTGAACACCCTAATCAGGGTCTCTTTGATCCCTTTCGTATTGATTCAGACCAAATTGGCCAGGATGTTCCTGCAGAAATGGACAGGAGCAGAAAAATATCAGGAGCTGAAGAAGCTCATGAAAGTCTCTGCTCTGCAGACCCAGACGCATTCAATGATGACCCTTTAAACCAGGAGTTCTTTATATAGTTGGAAAAAAGAAGAAAAGAAAAAAAGAAAAAAAGGGAAAAAAAAAAAAAAAAGAAAAAAAAAAGAAAAAAAAAAAAGAAAAAAGAGAGAACGAACGTTAGTTTCTGAAGTTAGCTGATATGGGACAAAATCTGATTCATGAAATCAGCTCAGAAATCCCCACTGCTCTGGCACTAGGTGAATTCAGTTGTGCATAGGCTGATTTATTAGCGGCTTAAGGAGCTAAATTTAAGATCTCTCTATCCTGGTCATAGTGGATCGGTGCTCAGGTCCCAAAACAAGAACACCACAAAGATTGGCTTCACCATGAGGAACCTCCAAGGAGAGATTAACCTCTCCAGTGGGAGCAGCACCCCATTCCCTGCACTTGGAGGGGGAATCCTTGACCCCAAGTGCACAAGAAAAATGCAATGAGCAAAGGCAGAGCTGATGGGGGCACGGTAAAAATTCAGCTCCAAATTTGGTTTAGGTGTCTGCGACAGTAATATTTCAACATAAATCAGATGTCTAAGCCCACTCAGAATTAAAGGAGAGTCAGTAAGCACTGGCAATGCAGTCCAGGGAGTGATTCAGCCCGTGATAAGCAACTGCATTCAGAAAGCTAACAGCTCTCTGAACTCCACCGAGCTTATTGATTGATCTCAACTAATTACAGTACAACCTTAGATATCTATTTATCATAAAGACAGCAATATTTAGACATCTAGAGCTGATTACATGGCTTGTCTATGCTTAACCATAGATATCTCGCTCCCCTCATTATATTTTTCCTTATTTAGACTGGAAAATTGCTTCACATGGGAGGTTACTGTCATTATCCTCTTTTTATAACAATAAGCAAAGATAAGTGAAATGACCTTGCCAAGGTCACCCGGTCAGAAGGGCAGAGCAAGACAAGGCATCCGGGTCTCCTGAAGTCCTGCTGTCCCTGTGTGGTTTCACGCTGACCCTCGCTGGCTGCCTTTTGCTGCCGTAACACAGGTGCTACAGAGGTTAACAATTACACGGATGATAAGCAAGTTCACCTTGAACATCAGAGAGACAAAACACGAACACGCCTTACAAAAAGGTTCATGGAGCTCATCGCTTTGACCGTGTTAATCGTCTGTCTGTTATAAAAAGGATAAAGATGTTAAAACAATTAATAAATACACATATCATCTCTGCTACATCAGTGCTGAAATGTACACTGGTTCTGTCAGATCTGCTGGAGGAATAAAACTGCTTAATGACTGCATCTGCTGCAAAGTCGGTGTGCTTTGCAGGGACATCAGTGTGTGTCCAAGAAAAAGAGGGGTGACGCATAAAGCTACGTGACCCATTTGGTACTAAAGTGGTCTTGGGGTGGGACAAGTGCCTCAGGACAAAGGTGCTGGCATCCCACAGCCCTGGTCAAGCTGTATTTAGATACAGAGAAATGAGACCTAAAGGCTTGAAGGGATTAAGCACCTGTTGTTGAAGCCATTAGGAAGGGGATGCCCATTTACCTGGGCCAAAGTGACATCCCAGACCAAGCTCTCACTACTACATGCCCAAAAATGCTGCCTCTCCTTGCCAGCACTAAGAGGGAGAGGGGAAATGCAGAAGCACCGTGGCTGGATGCTGCAAACCTGTTCTGGCTGCAGCTCATCCCAGCACATTGATGTCCAAATGGGCTTCCAGCCACAGTCACTGCTGACATCCCGAGCTCTGCTGAGGCTGCAGGCATGTCTGAGTCACCCACGAGAAATTTTTGTGGTCAAAACCTGACCTCTTTGCCACAGGAGGTGCTGGTGGCTGAGGAGTAGGAAGGAAGACCATGTAGGCTGGTCATGCACCACTGAGAAAGGCACCTCCCTCCCTGTGTAGCAGGATGGGGTTGAAATGCCTCTACAAGGCAGATCTCCCCAGCGAAGTCACCCCACAACAAGGATTTGGAGTAAAAGGAAACCTCTGGAAGTTATTTAGCCAGCCCCCTACCCACAATACGTCTCTGAACAGCAGCTCCTGTCGTCCAAGGATGTAGGTCCAAAGCTCAATGGCATGTTTGGCCATGTGGTGTGTGTATGCACGAACTAATTGCTCCTCTCTCCCCTTACTCCCATTAGCTTAGGGGGTGATGTTTTAAGGTCACATCTTCCAACGTCTCTCACTTCCATAAGTACACCAGTGCTGTGCCTACTCCACACAGACCTGGACTTGTCTGATCCTTCTGTAGCTCTTCTGGAGGCTCAAATTCACTCCTTGAGCTGGGGGGTGATGGACGAAGGGCTTGAGAGGAGATATTAGTGAGCAAGTCGGTGTCCACTGACCTGTCCTTATCGCTTTGGTGAAAGCAGCCAGGAGACCTCTGACAAATCACACACTGCATTTCAAACGCTGAGGACAATCTGGGTTTCCAGTTCCCAGGAATAAAGATGCAAAGCACTCAGAGAGGCTGCCCGGGAAATAGCTCAGACGTGCAGCAGAAACCAGGTCAATCTCCTTTGCAAGTGACATCAGAACCTCAGGCAAAACCAGGCCAATGTCTTTTCTTATCCCCAAACCCTGTGTGCTCTGTGTGTGACAAGTCTGATATGTTTTTTTTAAGGGTACTCTCCCAGTCAAATCTCTTTTAGGATTCTCTTCAAGACATTGTAGTTCAGATTCAGTTTTATGACTGACCAGGGCTTCTACCTGGGGCAAATGAAAATCGACAGCTTGGGACACAGCTCTCAAGATCATGTCTCCTTGATGATCAACCACACTTCCTTGTCCAAAGGACAAGCCACCAGGGTGGGCTGTCCACCCATTAAGCCATTAATGAGAGCAGCACGTGTGAATGAGAAGCTGCAAGCCCGCTGTCTGCCCTGGCATATGGAGCAAGAGCAACCTTCCTTGTCTGAAAGGGGATGTGCATGGGGGAGAGGAGGGAGCACAGCCAGCAGATGTGGCCCCAGAGAAGACAAGAAATAAACCAGCACAGTGGGTCCACCTGGAAACTGCAGCAAGTATTTCCTAGATGGGAAGTCCATCCTGCATTTTACCATGCCACATCAGTCCTAGGTGTTCAGCTCAGATAAAGCCTTCGTGTCCCTCTGGGGAAGTTGGCCCTGCAAATACAGACACTTGATTTGGGGTAATTCAGCATGGGGAGTAGCAGGGCAAGGGTGGGGTTGGCTGTAAGAAAAGGCATGGCAGAGGAGCATTGGCTCTGAGCATGGCAGGGGCAGAGCAGGAATGTGGCCCCAGGCCCCCAAACCCTCCTGCTTCCCTTTCAGCTGCATGGGACCAGCCCCAAAACCCACACTGAAACCCCTTCTGTGGATTCACATCTCACAGTTTGGAAAAAAATCACTCTGCAGCACAGCTGCCTTCAGGAGGTTTGGGGAGATACTGGGATAAGACAAGCTGTCCCCTCTCTGACCCCAAGAGTGACAGTGCTCTGGCACCTTTGTTCTGGCCGCAGGAACAGGGAGTGAATGGCTGGTGGCAAAGTGCGTCCCACAGGACTCCGATATATCTCATCTTAATGGGGGAAAATGCTGATTCAGGTGCTCATGAGAAGTACTCATTTTATCACAAATGATTAGGGGTTTAGTGCTCAAAGAGTTTAAACATTAATGTTTCGCTATTTAAGCAAGGCGTTCTGGCACAGCCCAGACATAGAGGTACACAGCATGGCCGAGTTTGGGGATTTTATAAGCGCTCTGGGGGAGTTTGGGCTGTATCAGAAATGGCTCGTGCTGTTGCTCTCCCTCCCGCTGCTTCTTAGCCCTTTCCAAATGATTGGCCAAGTGTTCATAGTTGTGGACGTGCCTCACTACTGCAACACCAGCTGGATCCGCGCCATCGGCCCCAACCTGACCGAGGAGGAGCAGCTGAACCTCACCCTGCCCCGCGACGCGGACGGGGCGTACGAGCAGTGCTCCATGTACTCGCCCGTCGACTGGGACCTGGGCTCCATCGTGGCGTACGGCCTGAACACCACGGAGAAGTGCAGCAGTGGCTGGGTGTACCCCTCAGTACAGCAGCCCTCCCTGCTCACCGAGGTCTGTAAATGCCTTCGGACGCCCCGGGGACGTGCAGGGGAAGGGATGGACTTTGGGGAAAGCCGAGGCAGAGGCGGGGTGGGGCTGAGCCCAGCGTGTGCTCTGCCCACCGCACAGCCCCTTGCCAGCAACCAAGGGACTCACAGTCTGGAGGACCCTGGCCTGGGGGTGCCTCTCTGCACCTCTCTTCTACTCTCTCTCCCCACATTCCTCCCTCATTTCTCCTTCCCTCTTTCCTCTGTTCCAGCTCCAACTTTCTCCTGGGCACCTTCCTGTGGGCTAAAACCAGATGAGGGAGCCCAGCCTCTGGCATTTCCACAGGCTTCTTGGCTCCCCTGGCGCCCTGTGTCCTGCCTCCAGCCTGTCCCACCCTGCCCGGCCTTTGCAGCCAGGTGCTGGGACCCCTCTCCGAGGCCCCACTTCCCCCAACACTTCCCAACCAGGAGGCTCCCTTGGGCTGCCTGGCCTTGATGCTCTGCTGCAGGCTCTGCTGCTTGAGGCCATCACTGAGTGCCCAGGGGGCTGTCCCACCTCCCGCTTGTGCAGCTCACACACACGTGCTGGAGACTTGTGTCCTCGGGAGAGGGATCTGTGTTCCCAGGGACTATGGCGAGAGCCTGTCAGCAGCAAGAGCAGCTGTGTTTCCCTCCTCCAGTTCGACCTCGTGTGTGACAGGAAGGACCTGACGGACATCTCGCAGTCTGTCTACATGCTGGGGCTGTTCCTGGGAGCCATGATCTTTGGGCCACTAAGCGACAGGTGAGGAGATGCAGACACCTATCTAGAGTTGTTGCCTGGCACCCTCAAACAACATAGCTGAGGCTTCAGGATGCCCATGCACTGGTCACAAAACACCTTCTTCACAGAACTCTATCCCCATTCCTCAACAAGAGAGGTGATAGGAGAGAGAGGCAGATACAACCTTAGGGGTCCTTCAGAAGTCTCATGTCCAGCCCCAGTTCTTGTCTCAGCTACCCAAGGTTGTCTCTAGGGATCCTAGAACATGGAATGGAGAAGGGCACAGTATGCACACAGGGTATTTCACAGGTGAAGCTGTATTACAGCCTGTATAAGTCTGGTCCTCAATGCTGTCAGCAGAGGTAGCATGGGAGCCCTTCAAGGGCATGTTACTTTAACCTTTACTGGTATCACATCTGGCCAGAAGTGGCGATGCTGCTTTTGCTGTCTTTTCCTCCCTGGGTCAAGGAGCTCTATTCACACAGAAGTCAAACCCCTGGTGTGAATGGTTCCCAAATCATTGTGTATCCCTTTCCCATGGGGTCTCTCCAGATACCAACAGTAACTTCCTTCTTCCTCCACAGGATCGGCCGCCGGCCAGTCCTTCTGATCTCCATCTTCATCCAGAGCTTGTTCGGGTTGGGAATTGCCTTTGTGCCCCATTTCTATGTATACATGGCCTTAAGATGTGTCGTGGCAACTGCTGTGTCTGGAATTCTGATTACTGTCTTGGCCTTAGGTGAGTAGGATGCCCTTGCCCTGAGGCAGACCAATGTGGCCTCTCAAGATATGATAGAAAAAGACATAAAAGATAGTCCTGTATGTTTTGAAAATAAAAAAAAAAAAAAGAAAAAAGAAAAAAGGAAAAAAAAAAACACACCTCTCAAATGAATGCTTAATAATAGGCCTATCCCTCCTCTCTCAGGGTGACAGCTCAGGGAAGATGATAGATGTAGGGAGAGCAGGAGCATGGGGGGCTCCCCTCGCAGGGACAGGACAGCCAAACCAGAAGATGCTGTCAGCACACGAAAAGGGGTATAAAGAACTGACAAATGTGTCCCTACTGTGTGAGACCATTGCAAACATGTCTCTGACAATGGAGGTCTGACTGCCAGTCTCTTCTCCTCAGCTCCTGACGAGTTCTTCTCCAGGAGCAACAAACTGCTCAAATAAGGGGAAATCACTCACAATGACCCTCAAACTCTGTTCTTCTTTTCAGCTACGGAATGGGTTGGGGTCTCCTATCGACCACATGCAGTGCTTATTACTCACTGCTGTTCTGCCATCGGACAAATGATTCTGGCTGGCTTGAGCTATGGCATTCGTAACTGGAGGTTGCTGGAAATTGCAGGATCTGCTCCTATGTTTGCCCTTTTCTTCTACATCTGGTAAGAGGCAGGTGGGCAGTATGCTCCTCACAGGCATGACAGATGCCAGAGGGGTTTCTGCAGAGCTCAGCACATCTCCCTGGGCCACTGGGTCTCAGAGAGCAGCAGCTGCTTTGCTTCAGGTCCTCAGATGTGGCCTAAACATAGCCCTGGGAAGCCTGATAGGAGGAGGTATTTAGACCCCCCTGGCACACATCATGCCCATTACTTGCTGGGCCTGGTTGCAGGGAGATGGGCTCCAAGGAAAGTCAGCAGGTCACAGGGCATCTTCTGCTTCCATCTCCTCGGCAGGGTGCTACCAGAATCAGCTCGGTGGCTGGTGACAAAAGGCAAAATAGAAGAAGCTAAGAAGGTCCTTCAGAAGGCAGCATCCATCAACAAGCGTACCATCCCCCCAGATCTCCTTGAGCAGGTACCAAAACCAGTGTGGGGAGATGCTCGTCCTCAGAAACCTGCCTCTGAGTGGCTTTGTAGCACTCCTTGAAGCTGGGCTTACTTGGTAAACATCTTTCCATGAATGCTGGGATCATTTAGGGATGGGCTTTTCTTCAGTGAGGGCTTCAGAAGTATGGAGGATGATCATGAGGTCCCTGCTCTGTGGTTTTCCATGCCTAAATGCCCAAAGGCAGGGAAGTTACCACCCCTCCCATCCCAAGGACCCTGCACAGACAAAGTGTTCATCCTGAGGAACCTCCCAGTCTCCAAATTATTGCACGGGGCAGCCACACCATAGGCAGGAGAGTCAAGCCCCACTGGGCTGCCGCCCCTCCCACAGTAGCTTTGGGTCACAAGCCTGTCCCACTGAGTTTATCCTTTGTCTTCATCTGGAAAAAGAGCTAGCCATGGGTTTCCTTTTTCTGCTCTGACTCTCTCGCTGTCTGAATTTTGAAGCTGAAGTGTGACACACAGACCAAGCCTGGAAGTATTCTGGATCTCCTTCGGAAGAAGCACCTCCTGAAGGTGACTTTAATCATGTCGTGTGCCTGGTAAGACGTTGCCTGGTTCCCTCTTTCCCACCTTCTGGGTGAAGAAAAAAAGATCTTGAAGGTTATTCATAACTTTAAATTAACCCCATTTTTTTTTTTCATGTCCATTTGTGTTTGCCATTTTTCTTTCTCCTGGCACTGGACCAGATCCATCTTGTCTGGGTTTGGGGAGAAGCTGATTATTCCAGATGCTGTGGGGGTTGTAATTCCACTTTCATGACAGACTCTGAGTTTTGGAGTAGTTTTGTGTCCCCACAGAAATTCTGGCTGCAGAATAAATATTGCTGAGCGTATCAGTGTCTATACTGCTTTACCTCATTCAACTATGTTCTGCAAAATTGTCACAAGTGGTGACTAGAAGCAAAACAGAGGTTCCTGGGAATTTAAATAAGTTGTTTGTGCTCTAACTAGCCTAATTTTTGAAGAAAAGATCCATAGAAAATCCATCTGATTGCATGTTTCATTCCATTGCATTTCAGGTTTGTGGACAGCCTAGTCTACTATGGTCTGAGCCTTAGTGTGACAAATTTTGGTCTTGACATCTATCTCACACAACTTGCCTTTGGGGCAGTGGAGTTACCAGCTCGCATTTCCTGCATTTTCCTGCTACAGTGGTTTGGGAGGAAAAAAAGTCAGGCTGTTCTGCTGCTGCTGGCTGGTGTGATGTGCCTCCTCATCGCTGGCATCCCTGAAGGTGAACAACCTCTTCCCAAGTCAAAAGAGAATCCAACCCCTATCTATCCTGGTTTAGAACCTATTCCCCCTTATGTGTTTCTACCTACACACTGCCTATAGAGTCTGTATCTTTGCACCTGCTGCTATGCTGGTGATACAAGCAAGGCTGAAAGAGCAGGTTTGCGAGATGCTTTCTAGCTCATACATAAGATATTTCCAAGTGAGCACTTCCTGATGACCTGCAGTAGCTCAGCGACTCACTCCAGTCACAAATTTAGAAAATGTTCAAGGCCTGGGAACAAATCTGTGTTCTCGTTGCCAGTTGTCCAAAGGTTATTTTTTCAAACATGATGTCTGGGAGTGGTATCCAGTAGCTTAGCTGGCAGATTTCCTTGCAAAGTCCATTAGAACGGGCTGTCCCAAAAAAAAACCATCCAACTGCAGAGCCTCTGCCTGAACCTTGTCCATGGAAGCCACAGCAACTCTCTCTTCCCCTCAGACCAAGCCGTGGCGATCACTGTCCTGGCCATCATCGGCAAGTTTGCCGCCTCAGCCTCCTTCTCCTGCTCCTACGTCTATGCCGCAGAGCTCTTCCCCACCATTGTCAGGTGAGGTTTCGCCAGGCTTTATGGCTTCCCTCCCACAGGGCTAGCCCCCTCACGGGAGCACAGGTTTTGGCACCCCACCACGGGGGGTGGTGGTGGCAATGGTGGCACAAGAGCCTGGCCGTGCCCACAGATGTTCTTGGTCCCTGGGAATGGGGAAGAAGAGGTGGCACAACATGGCCTCCATGGCTGCCCTATACACCTGTGGCCTGTCCCCTCAGCAGGGCAGCGCTGACATGGCTGAGGAGAGCGGCACAGATGCGTGCAGCTCTCCTGTGTGGCACCTAAACCCATGACAATCCCACATGGAGGGAAGAAAAGGGGACGTGGCACTCCACCATGGTGGTGGTAATGCCGGGGGCAGGGCATGGCGGAGGCAGCATGCCATGGCTGCCGGCTCTGCCCCTTGCGCTCCCCCTCTGGTGTCGCGCTGTTCCCCCGGGGCACCGAGCCCGGCCCGCAGCTCCCAGCGCCCCTCGCTCCTGCAGGCAAAGCGGCGTGGGGCTGTGCTCGATGGCGGCGCGGGTGGCAGGGATCATCGCCCCGCTGATCCGCCTCCTGGAGAAGTACCACCGGGCCGTCCCCATGGCCGTCTTCGGCAGTGCCCCTGTGCTGGGGGGGCTGCTCTGCTTCCTGCTGCCCGAGACCCGCGGCGCCGAGCTGGTGGATGACACGAGGGGTGGCCGCCCCACGGCACAGGTGAGCCCCCGCGCTGCCTCCTCTTGCTCACGGGGTCAGGGGGACCACAAAAGGGCCCGTGGGCATTGCATGAGCTGCATGTGGGGACGTCTTTGGGGGCTTACGTTGTTGGAAGGGCAGGGAGTGGGGGTGCCCCATTGCCGACGGAGAGGAGGGAAAGGGGTAGTAGTGATCTGCCCCATAACACATCCCAGAAGGGTATCTCAGTCTCATGGTGGTCACTGCTGCCCTCCTGTCCGTGAAATGAAAATACCCCGGGGGTAGAGAGCACTTCCCTTGGCTCCCCCATCCTCCAGAAAACAGCTGATGCCTTGTAGCTGTGCTCTCCAGCCTTCAGCAGCTTGTAGCCTCGAGATCCCTGTTCCCCATAGGGCTGGGTGGAATTGCAGCCTGGTACTTTATTAGGTATCCATGGGTGCTCACAGATGTGTGAGAAGGCAGGTTGTTGAAGGCTGCATGTCTTTTGGCTAAATTCTGAAGGCTGCTATCAAGTCATAATGCATGTTTCTTTGCTTTTTAACTCCTTTCTGTTTCACAGAGACGTGTTTCTGACAACACAGGTGTGGTACCCCCCCAACAGAGGTAAATGTCTGGAGGTCTGAATGTAAAGACTAAAAAAAAAAGTAAATTTAAGGCCATACAGGAATTATTCAGAAGGCAGGATGGATACAATATAATGCCTTCCTTTCTCCTTCCTGTCTCTATTAGCAGTTTGGAGACTTGTTCGAAGACAGACACTGAAGAGCCTGGGGCAGACTCAGAGCATGCAGTCTGAAGATGCTTGGAGAGCAAGTGATGAATGGACAGGCACATTCTAAAGGTCTACTCTGATGGAGTCTTTTTTATAGCAGAACAATGAGGCACTGCTGTCTGGACGCTGGTCTTGCAGCTGATCAACAACCCAACTGTATTTGTTGTCAGAGGGAGAGGAGATCTGTGTCACACTGCGTGTGGAAAAGATGCACTTGGAACTGTTCTCCAGACCCAGCCTGTTATGCCCGGCTGTGCGAGTCCTCCCCGACGTGCTTCCCAGTCCTTTGCAAACTGCTACCCGTGGAACCATCCCTGTCGTGTTTTACAGCAATAAGGAACTGCCAGTAGAGTGATATTACTGGGCAAGCGAGCACCGGACTGTGTCCTTCCTGCACTAATCGCTTGGGTCGTCAGCCGTGGCGGCAGCCCAAGCCTCACCGTTTGATCAGGATGTCACTGAAACCCTGTCACACACGTATTTAGGTTGTATTTCTATGTGGTGTTGAATTTGAATTTCTACATGAATAATATAAATTATACTTTGCGTTTGATAAGAGACACTTGTAATGCAATATGTGAATAATAAACGATGTTGATTTTTTTTTCCTACTGTTTCACAGTTGGCCTTTGTAACTGCTATTGGCTCTGGAGTGTTTTCTACACAGAAATTAGAAGCCTGTAATTTAACACACAGATGGAAACGTGTTTGGTTTCCATCAGCCACAAACAATGCAGAAACAGAGTGTTAAAGCACTCTGGGTAAAGACTGGGTTCAATCGGGACTTATTTTTATTTCCAAGTCTTCTGATGAACAATCTTTGTTTAAATATTTTTTCCTCTATGAGCAGCTGCAGAAGCTTCCTGAATTGTGTGGTGCACGCTGCGTTTCAATTTCAGTTAAACTGAGTGGACATCTGGACATTTTACCCCAGTCATTGTCAGCCTTTACTGGTAACCTCGGTTGGCTGCTACCAGCTCTACCACAATTTAGTGTCATCTAATGTCATACAAAGGCAAGAGAAGGGTGGCCTCCTCTTCTGATTGCTCCTGTGCTCTCTGGGGGATCCTCTGGCAACAGGAGCTGCTTCACCTTGCCTCGGGCAACAGGTCTAGGCGTGGTTCTGCTGCTCCTTCACACCTTAAATATCTCTGGCCCTGCCTGAGCATTTCACTTGGCAGTGAGGAGGTCCTAATGGATGAACTTGGGTCTCCTCCAAGAGGGAAATGGAGGTTGAGAAGTCCTGACCTGAATGCAGGTGTAAGTTAGAATCTAAGTGCAGAAGCAGGGCTTTGCTCACATGGTAACTGTGAACAGCCTGAAGAAGACTTGGACATAAATTGATCTGTCCTGGCAAACTCTTCAGCCACCCACAGTGTCCCTGACATTTGCTCACCACAACCACCTTCAGCACCATCCCAAACTGTCTCTCTCATCACGCTTTGACAAAGCTCTCTATTAAGGCCTTGCATTTGCTACTCCATTTTGTTCCCACCTCCCCTTCAGGCTTCTGACTCCCTCCCCTTGGCTGTAGGGTTATTCTCTTTCCTGTAGTTACCCGTTCAGTCACCTAAGACACCTTTTACCCAAAACCTCATTATTATGTGAGCTCATAACATCCCATTATATGTATGCAAAATGTGTTTCATTTACACATGCTATTTTAACTTGACTTTGTACTATCAGCTCTATTTACTACTGTGCAGGACCACACATTGACCAGTTAGCAATGGCATTAAAGCACAGCGATACCATTGGACATCCTCCCATTCCTGTTGAGCTGGGCAAATCACCACAGGTCAATTTAGGTTCTCCTCAGCCAAAAAATGCATCATCCCATAGTCTTCAAACTAACCAGGTGCAGTGGTCTAAAGAAGAGGAGGCAAAATAGATCTTCAGCCTACTGGAAGCATAAATGAGTTGGAGCAGAAGTACATCAAATGTGTCTGGACACCATTAATTATGAAACAAAGTGAAACAGAGAGACTCAGAGAAGAGTTCTTACAAGGAGAAACCACGTTTCACTCAGTAACTGTTTTACTCCAAGCTCTTCCCTCAACATTTACCCTCAATTCCTGATTTTCCATAAAAGCCTGAAAGAGGCAGACTCCAGCCTTTGTAAAGGAAAAAGAGTGTTCTCACTCAAAAGACTGAGCACCTCTATGCTCAGGTCCACTGAACAGGAGCACCACAGCCAAAATTGAGCAAATGCCGTGGAGAGCAATGCCAGAATGAAGATGGCACCATAGCCATCTGTGGTGGGACTGTTGCATGTCACTGATTTTATCCAGAGCGCTGTCTTCACCAAACTGCATATCCATGGGATACTTTAATCCAAAGAAAACATGTAGGCATGACAAGGAGAAATAATGTCTCATTTGAAAGCTTCACAGTGTTACTAGAAAATAGCCTTTGAGCTGTACACAGTCCAAGCTTTGCATATAACTTCTGGGCTCCGTCTGTATAAAGCTAGAGGTAAAAGAAAGTTTTCTTGTGGGACAGGAAGTAAGAGGAGTGGAAGCACAGGAAAATAACATGTTTTTCTTCATAATGTAAGACAAAAGTGTTTATAAAACATTTAAGTATAGGTTGTTATAGCAAGAAGGAGTAGAGTAGAGTAGAGTAGAGTAGAGTAGAGTAGAGTAGAGTAGAGTAGAGTAGAGTAGAGTAGAGTAGAATAGAATAGAATAGAATAGAATAGAATAGAATAGAATAGAATAGAATAGAATAGAATAGAATAGAATAGAATAGAATAGAATAGAATAGAATAGAATAGATCTGATAGTTCCCAGAAAGATTTGCACTTTTCTTCTAAGAGACCAAGTGCCACAACATCTCTCAGTTTCCCAGAACAGATAAGTTAATGTGGTCCTCCAGCACAGCCTGACACAAAACACCACTACACCCTTTCACTCAAAGCCACCAGCACCAAGGCAAATATTCTGCTTCCTCTTAGACATCCTCGTTCACTGCTTGCTGTTTATTCTATCATGTTATTTTTTTTTTCAGTTCAGTATCTCAAACCTTAAAAAAAAAAAAAAGAGTGTTTTAAGAGAGAGTGAGAAAACCATGCTAGACAGTCAAGAGAAATCACTCCTGCAAGTGTGAGATTGTTTTCAGTGTTACATCTGCTCTGGCTTTTCTTTACTGAACACAGTGCTCCTTTGCCAGTCTATTCAATACTCTGGCAGGTGTCTCAACAGGAGAAAATTAACAGTCTCACATTCTTGGAGATGGGACAAGAAAGAGAAAATATTGCATCCATCCTGGCTTCAGATTTCTTTCTCTTTTCTTTAAATAAAAAGCATTTTCTCCTGTGACAGCACTGTAGAACATGAAAGACAGCATGCAGTGTCTGAGGACAAACTATAGAGGGAGATACAGGAAGGCACAAAAGAAAAATAAGGCCAGGAATTGGCAGTGGCTGCTTGAGTAGGGTAGGTGGTGTACTGTAAATGGAGACCCTGTTTGTCCTCAGTGCTGCCACAGCACCAGGCAGCCTCAAATTAGAGCTGCTTGCAGGCCCAGCTAGAAATAAGTGGTCTTAGTGTATTCATTGTCTTGGCCACCATCTTTGACTTTCACTTGTCCATTTTCAGAGCTGCTGTTGGCATTTTCACAGGCCTAATGAAAAAGAAAAGAGTTAAAAAGCAAAGAAACATGGATTATGACTGATGGCAGCCTTCTCCAATTAGCCAAAAGACATGCAGCCTTCAGCAACCTGCCTTCCCACACATCACCCACTCTCTGAGCCATCATGGACACCCTGACCCTAACAAAAGTACCAGGCTGCCATTCCACCCTGCACTGTGGGGAACAGGGAGCTGGGAGCTACGTGCTGCTGAAGGCTGGAGAGCACAGCTACAAGGCATCAGCCCTTTCCTGAAGAAGGACGGGGGAGCCAGGGGAAGTGCCCTCCACTCCTAGAGTCCTTTCATTTCATGGACAGGAGGGCAGCAGTGACCACCATGAGACTGAGATACCCTTCTGGGATGTGTTATGGGGCATATCACTACCACCCCTTTCCCTCCGCTCCCCCTGCAATGGGGCACCCAAATCCCTGCCTTCCATCAATTTAAGCCCCCAAAGACATCCCCACACACAGCTCATGCAATGCCCATGGGCCCTTTTGTGGTCCCCCTGACCCCGTGAGCAAGAGGAGGCAGCGCAGGGGCTCACCTGTGCCGTGGGGCGGCCACCCCTCGTGTCATCCACCAGCTCGGCGCCGCGGGTCTCGGGCAGCAGGAAGCAGAGCAGCCCCCCCAGCACAGGGGCACTGCCGAAGACGGCCATGGGGATGGCCCGGTGGTACTTCTCCAGGAGGCGGATCAGCGGGGCGATGATCCCTGCCACCCGCGCCGCCATCGAGCACAGCCCCACGCCGCTTTGCCTGCAGGAGCGAGGGGCGCTGGGAGCTGCGGGCCGGGCTCGGTGCCCCGGGGGAGCAGCGCGACACCAGAGGGGGAGCGCAAGGGGCAGAGCCGGCGGCCATGGCATGCTGCCTCCGCCCTGCCCTGTCACCGGCATTACCACTACCATGGTGGAGTGCCACGTCCCCTTTTCTTCCCTCCGTGAGGGATTGTCATGGGTTTAGGTGCCCACACAGGAGAGCTGCATGCATCTGTGCTGCTCTCCTCAGCCACGTCAGCGCTGCCCTGCTGAGGGGACAGGCCACAGGTGTATAGGGCAGGCATGGCGGCCATGTTGTGCCACCTCTTCTTCCCCATTCCCAGGGACCAAGAACATCTGTGGGCACGGCCGGGTTCTTGTGCCACCATTGCCACCACCACCCCTTGTGGTCGGGTGCCACAACCTGTGCTCCCATGAGGGGGCTAGCCCTGTGGGAGGGAAGCCATAAAGCTGGGCGAAACCTCACCTGATGATGGTGGGGAAGAGCTCTGCAGAGTAGACGTAGGAGCAGGAGAAGGAGGCTGAGGCGGCAAACTTGCCGATGGTGGCCAGGACAGTGATCGCCATGGGCTCGTCTGAGGGGGGAAGAGAAGAGACTGTGGCTGTGAGATGGGTGGCCTGATATCACCGCTGAAGGATGGTGACTGGGGACTTGTGGTGACAACCACATCCTCTGAAGGGAGCCATTGCCACTGATCAGTGCTTGAACATGGACTGAGGAGCAGCTCTTGTCTGGATGCCACCCTCAGGACACTGCATCCATCTCACCTCTCCAGCAGACTACCCAGAGGGCAGCTCTGTCAGCTGAGCGCATTGCTCAGACCTACCCTCTCCTATCAGTTGGCAGGCAAAGATTTGCTGACCAAAATGGTCTGTGGGTACATGACCAAGTCCCTTGTGTCCATGGCACCAGGTTCAGCTCAGTCCCTGACAGACATGTGGGACTGCAGCCAGATGGATTGGCAGGATGGGACCTTCACGAGCAAGGGAAGTGCTGGAGCTGTCAGCTCCCTGCCCCAGAAGCTGTGCTCTCAAGGCAAGAAGAGGTTGTTCACCTTCAGGGATGCCGGTGATGATCAGACACACCAGGCCACTCAGCAGCAGGGTGCCTGCCTGGGATTTCCTCCTCCCAAACCACTGTAGCAGGAAGATACAACCAACACGGGCTGGGATTTCCACTGCTCCAAAGGCAAGCTGTGTCAGGTAGATGTCCAGACCAAAATTAGTCACATTCAGACTCAGACCATAGTAGACGATGCTGTTAACGAACCTGAAAACAGAGCAGAATCGCAACAATCACATCTGTTAGCCATGAGAAAATACAGTAGTGACCTCCACTGACAACATTTTCAGCATCAGCTGAAAATCTGATCTGATGAAAACCTGAATCTGAAATCAGCTGAATTCCAAGGGGGCATAAAACCCGACCAGTACCACAGGACTGCCAAAGCTGGGACTGCTAAGTGTTTCCCACAAGTGTTTCTCACTAAGTGTTTCCATTTCATCTGGAATAGCCAGAAAGAGCAATAACCATCAATATCATCACCAAAACACAAGGTGAATTTACAATTATGAATAACCTTCAAACCCTTCTTTTCTTCACCCAGGAGCTAGGAAAGAGGGAACCAGGCAATGTCTTACCAGGCACACGACATGATTAAAGTCACCTTCAGGAGGTGCTTCTTCCGAAGGAGATCCAGAATACTTCCAGGCTTGGTCTGTGTGTCACACTTCAGCTTCAAAATTCAGACAGCGAGAGAGTCAGGGCAGACAAAGGAAACCCATGGCTAGTTCTTTTTCCAGTGGAAGACAAAGGATAAACTCAGTGGGACAGGCTTGTGATGCAAAGCTGCTGTGGGAGGGGCAGCAGCCCAGTGGGGCTTGGCTCTCCTGCCTGTGGTGTGGCGGCCCAGTGCAATAGTTTGAAGACTGGGAGGTTCCTCGGGATGAACACTTTGTCTGTGCAGGGTCCTTGGGATGGGAGGGGTGCTAACTTCCCTGCCTTTGGGCATTTAGGCATGGAAAACCACAGAGCAGGGACCTCATGATCATCCTCCATACTTCTGAAGCCCTCACTGAAGAAAAGCCCATCCCTAAATGATCCCAGCATTCATGGAAAGATGTTTACCAAGTAAGCCCAGCTTCAAGGAGTGCTACAAAGCCACTCAGAGGCAGGTTTCTGAGGACGAGCATCTCCCCACACTGGTTTTGGTACCTGCTCAAGGAGATCTGGGGGGATGGTGCGCTTGTTGATGGATGCTGCCTTCTGAAGGACCTTCTTAGCTTCTTCTATTTTGCCTTTTGTCACCAGCCACCGAGCTGATTCTGGTAGCACCCTGCCGAGGAGATGGAAGCAGAAGATGCCCTGTGACCTGCTGACTTTCCTTGGAGCCCATCTCCCTGCAACCAGGCCCAGCAAGTAATGGGCACGATGTGTGATGGGAATCCAAATGCCTCCTCCTATCAGGCTTCCCAGGGCTATGTTTAGGCCACATCTGAGGACCTGAAGCAAAGCAGCTGCTGCTCCCTGAGACCCAGTGGCCCAGGGAGATGTGCTGAGCTCTGCAGAAACCCCTCCAGCACCTGTCATGCCTGCAAGGAGCATACTGCCCACCTGCCTCTTACCAGGTGAAGAAGAAAAGGGCAAATATAGGAGCAGATCCTGCAATTTCCAGCAACCTCCAGTTACGAATCCCATAGCTTAAGCCAGCCAAAATCATTTGTCCAGCGGCGAAACAGCAGTGAGTAATAAGCACTGCATGTGGTCGATAGGAGACCCCAACCCATTCTGTAGCTGAAAAGAAGAATGAATATTGAGGGTCATTGATGTGATTTCCCCTTCTTTAAGCAGTGTGTTTCTCTCCTCCAGAACCTGAGGAGAAGGCACCAGCAGTCAGGACACTGATGTGTAACATACGTGCAAGTCCCCAGTGTTTCATGAGCTGCATCACCTCTCCTTAACCCCAGGGTGTCCTGTCAGCCACAAACATAACGAGGGTAAAGTACACCAGCCTGGACACCTACAAGAGGACGTGGAGCTCATGTACCTCAGCTCTCTGCTCCCAGTGTTTGGATGTCCCCTTGCTGGGGCAGGGATTTGGAGGGATTGGGGCACAAGTTAGTGGTGTCCCAGAGCCCTTGGGCTCTCTCCCTGTGTTGACCACCTCATCTGGGAGGCAGTCCCCTTGCCCTCATCTGAGCACTGCCATCTCCCAGACACCTTGTGTGGATCTCACTCAGGCTTGGCGAGATGCCGAAGGGCAGTGACGATCAGGACCTGTCCTCACCCCTCTGTATTGCCTCCTCAGCAAACCAGCTGCAGAAGCCACTGAGACGTGTCAAGCTGTCTGTCCTGCTCAGGTTAAAACATGAGCCATTCATTTGGGAGGACGTTTTTCAGGGTGTAATGAATGACTTTTTATCTCTTTGCAGGCCATTTCTACTGCCTCTTGAGAGACCACATCTATCTGCCTCAGGGCAAGGGCATCCTACTCACCTAAGGCCAGTAAAGTCATGGTGATCCCTGACACTGAAGCCCCCACGACACATCTGAAGGCCATGTATACGTAGAAATGGGGCACAAAGGCAATCCCCAAACCAAAAAAGCCTTGGAGGAAGATGGAGATCAGAAGGACTGGCCGGCGGCCGATCCTACGGAGGAAGAAGGACACAGTTGGTATTTAGAGACCCCATGGGATGGGGTAGAGCCTGGAGGGACACACAGTGATTTGGAACCGTTCATCTTTCTTGAGACTACCCCCAATTTACATGTGAAGCACTCTATGCAGATGCTTTGCCTTCTTCCTTTCCACTCCATGTCCACGCAAGGCCTAAAGACCACTAGGGTCCTTAGTTAGGGTCACTAATTTTGGGACACTCACTGTGAGTTAGAGGCAGTGACAAAATACACAGTGCTGTGGCCAGCCAGCCCTGGAGCAGTGCACGGCGCTACACACGGATGGTTTAGAGGAGACCACGGGCAGTTCCTTGTGTGTCCTCACCTGTCGCTGAGTGGTCCAAAGATCATGGCTCCCAGGAACAGCCCCAGCATGTAGACAGACTGCGAGATGTCATTCAGGTCCTTATTATCGCACACGAGGTCGAACTGGAGGAGGGAAACACAGCTGCTCTTGCTGCTGACAGGCTCTCACCTGGGAACACAGATCCCTTTCCCGAGGACACAAGTCTCCAGCGTGTGTGTGAGCTGCACAAGTGGGAGGTGGGCCAGACCCCTGGGCACTCAGCGATGCCCTCAAGCAGCAGAACCTGCAGGAGAGCATCAAGGCCAGGCAGCCCAAGGGAGCCTCCTGGTTGGGAAGTGTTGGGGGAAGTGGGGCCTCGGAGAGGGGTCCCAGCACCTGGCTGCAAAGGCCGGGCAGGGTGGGACAGGCTGCAGGCAGGACACAGGGCGCCAGGGGAGACAAGGAACCTGGGGAAATGCCAGAGGCTGGGCTCCCTCATCTGGTTTAACCCACAGGAAGGTGCCCAGGAGAAAGTTGGAGCTGGAACGGAGGAAAGAGGGAAGGAGAAATGAGGGAGGAATGTGGGGAGAGAGAGTAGAAGAGAGGTGCAGAGAGGGAAACACTGGGGATGCCAGGAGGCAGGGCCTTGGCTCATCTGCATGGCCCACAGGAAGCTTTGTCTAAACCCTGAAGGTCTCTGCAGGTCCCAGCAAACTGAAGGACAAATAAAGCTCTTGGAAAGCAAATGTCTTTCAGAGGGAAGGTGCCGTGACAAGAACCAGGGAGAAGAATAGAGGAACCTGTGGCAGGGAGACCACAAAGGTGCCCCCCGGCCAGGTACCGTGAGTGCCTCGGGTGCTGGCAAGGGGCTGTGCGGTGGGCAGAGCACACACTGGGCTCAGCCCCACCCTGCCTCTGCCTCGGCTTTCCCCAAAGTCCATCCCTTCCCCTGCACATCCCCGGGGCGTCCGAAGGCATTTACAGACCTCGGTGAGCAGGGAGGGCTGCTGTGCTGAGGGGTACACCCAGCCACTGCTGCACTTCTCCGTGGCGTTCAGGCCGTACGCCACGATGGAGCCCAGGTCCCAGTCGACGGGCGAGTACATGGAGCACTGCTCGTACGCCCCGTCCGCGTCGCGGAGCAGGGTGAGGTTCAGCTGCTCCTCCTCGGTCAGGTTGGGGCCGACGGCGCGGATCCAGCTGGTGTTGCAGTAGTGAGGCAGGTCTGGAACCATAAAAAGCTGGCAGAACTGGTGGAAGGCCAGGCTGAGGCATGGCAGCATGGAGAAGAGCACCAGCCTCTTCTGAAATGTCCCCAAATCCCCGACTGCCTTCAGGATTTCCCCGATGCCCGACATTGTCGGCTGAGTTGGGAAGAGGACAGTGCATGGGACAGACTTTCCTGCAGGCTGGAATTAATGTTTAATCCCAAGATAAGCTCTGCAGACGTGGGCAGGCACTACAAATATGCAGTCTCTTCGGGAGGGACTCAACGCCTGGTGTTTTACACGACCTAAGTGCACCGTGTAACACATTAATCATTTCTGGGCCACCCTCGTGTGGTGTCTCCTACTGGGTAAAGCGTGCAGGACCGACCCCGTTTCAGGAGATCTGGATCGTGCCTCTGCCAGGGCCGTGTGGGCATGACACGGGGGAAGACCGAGTTGTCCGAACCGATTGCAGGTGCTGCTCTACTCGAGCGAGCAAGGTTCTCGGAGGCTAAGACAGCCCGGCGTGGTGCAGAGCTGGGAAAAGTCCAAGAAATGGAGTGATGCTAAGGGCTGTGCAGAGCCAGGGAGGAGGAAGGGCGGCCAGCTGGCTGCCATCCCAGCCCACGGGAGCCTCCGTTTCCTTCATCTCCTGCGGCTTCCCCGCGAGCCCTGTGTGGGACACCCACCCTTCGTGGCCCTTCTGGGCCACCCCACAGTTCAGGGAGGGGGCTGCAAGCAAATATTTGGGGGAGGCATATGTGGACGGTGGAAAACTGGATCAGGGAAATGGTGCTTGAGCTAAGTTTTGTCAGTCATGCTGCATTCCCCTTTAGGGAAATGGAAACTTCAGGAGGTGCTCACCCTCCGGGGTAAGGTTATTTTCCAGGTACAAATTCATCAGCTGGGAAGAGACTGTGAGAAGGCGATGGGGAGGTGGTGAGGAGAAGTTTGGGAAGCCCAAAAGGAATGCGCAGTATGGTGTGGACCAGTGACCCACGGGAGGGTGGTGAGGCCCTGGCTGTAAAAAGCTTTAGGAGCAACCATAATGGGATTTCCTACAGGAAATGGAGGCTGAGAGATGTGGCTGGATCTGGGGTCTCTCACCTCCGATGCGTTTTGTTGAGGTCCTGGCTGTGCTTCGGGTGTAGAGGGAAGACCTCGGAGGCACCTCTGGATCAGGTCTGACCTGGAGAATCATCCAGCCCTAAATGCCACCCTGACCCCAGCCCCGCGCAGACATCCATGGACCACCACCATCGAGTGCTCGCGGGGGTCACCAAGCCTCCCATCGCCCAAATAAACGCCTCGGGTGGTGTGGATACCACTCGGACAAACCCCCAGCCAACTCAACGACACGTAAAGCACACACCAAACACACGGCAATGGACAATTTGTTCTTTATTGATTAAAAATTAGAGACATGCAGTAAAATACAAAGTCCAAAAAAGGGGAAAAAAAAAAAAGCCTGAATATTTTACATCTCTCATTATAGTCTACAATACACCAAAGTTGTGAAGAGGATCCGTTTTCATTAACAGAGCATTGTCCTTAAAAGTAGGAACTTAAAATTACCGCCTGCTTTCAGGTTCGGATCAGAAATTCACACAGAAAAAAAAAAAAAAAAATCCATAATGACACTGGAAAACAATTATGAACAGCATTGGCACTTACTGGAACAACATCAGAAAAGACAGTTGTCTAGCACTGTAATAGCCCAAGTAGAAATTTTTGGATTGCTACCCAAAACGCCTGGAGAGCTACAGAGCAAATGACATCAGTTGCTTGCTGATTTTCTCCCGTGAAGAACTAACGAGTCCCGGGTCGGTGCAAACTCACACTCCGAGTCCTGGTGTTGGGAAGGTGGGGGATAACTTAATAAATAGAGGCTGTGTTGTCACACGTGAGCGGTTCGAGTCCCACCTCTCTCAGCACCAGGACCCAGGAGGCCCCCAGGGTGTGCAGGCAGGAGGAGGAATAACACTGCACACACTGCACCATGACCACGTCGTCATCAGCCACGGGGCGACACGAGAAGTCTGGGTGCCAGCCCGCTTTCCCCAAGCCAAGAGGCTCACTGGGGGAAGCCCTCGGGAGTGCTTTGTGTCAAATTTTTCTTTTTTTTTTCTCTTGTGGCACAGCTGGCAAGCACACAAGTGGCCAAACCCAGCCCCCATCAACTCCTGGCACCCACCTCCTTGGCTGGTCAGGGCTCCTGCTCAGCACCCCAGGGTGCTCTCACTCCCAGGCTCTCCTCCTCCTCTCCTTCGCCTTCCCTCTCAGCAGTCCCGGGGCTGCAGAGAGCCGGCAGCTCCATGGGGACAGAGCCAACACCCACCTACAGGCTAAAAGAAACTAGGGCAGTATAAAAAGAGCATGCACAAGGCAGGGAGCTTCCGCAGCTGCTCGTAGAGGAAAAAAAAAAATATAAATATAGATTGTTCATCAGAAGACTTGGAAATAAAAATAAGTCCTGATTGAACCCAGTCGTTCTGCTTTAACACTCTGTTTCTGCATTGTTTGTGGCTGATGGAAACCAAACACGTTTCCATCTGTGTGTTAAATTACAGGCTTCTAATTTCTGTGTAGAAAACACTCCAGAGCCAATAGCAGTTACAAAGGCCAACTGTGAAACAGTAGGAAAAAAAAATCAACACCATTTATTATTCACATATTGCATTACAAGTGTCTCTTATCAAACGCAAAGTATAATTTATATTATTCATGTAGAAATTCAAATTCAACACCACATAGAAATACAACCTAAATACGTGTGTGACAGGGTTTCAGTGACATCCTGATCAAACGGCGAGGCTCGGGCCGCCGCCACAGCTGACGACCCAAGCGATTAGTGCAGGAGGGACACAGTCCGGTGCTCGCTTGCCCAGTAATACCACTCTACTGGCAGTTCCTTATTGCTGTAAAACACGACAGGGATGGTTCCACGAGTACCAGTTTGCAAAGGACTGGGAAACACGTCGGGGAGGACTCGCACAGCCGGGCATAACAGGCCGGGTCTGGAGAACAGTTCCAAGTGCATCTTTTCCACACGCAGAGTGACACAGATCTCCTCTCCCTCTGACAACAAATACAGTTGGGTTGTTGATCAGCTGCAAGACCAGCGTCCAGACAGCAGCGCCTCATTGTTCTGCTTTGCGGACCGACTACATCTACGGACGCAGGATGAAGGACATGGTTTGCGGAAGGACTGCTTAACGTAAATCAACAGGTTCAGCCCTCATGCCACGCCTGGCACTCATGTGGAAAGAACCCAAATGATATATAAAAAAGCAAAAAACTTAAGGCAGTTTACAAAGGGAAGCTGACTTCTAACACCTCGAAGTCAAGGAACTTCTCAGGAACGCAAACACAAGGGAAGATGGCTCTCCCTCCTGTGGGTTAAGACTTGGCTTGCTTTCTTAGGTGCAAGCATTCAAACCAGCAGTTTTAAAAATACAGCTGAAGAGAAGCAGATTTCTCAGCACTCCAGGTGACCCAAACAACATGTACATTGGTGTTTCAGGTGGAAGGAGAAGGTAAAGAACAAAAAAAAAAAAGATCCATTCAGTATTAAAACTTGTGCAAAAATAGCAAGTGAAAAAAAATGAAACCACATGTAAGCAAACATTTAGGCGAGATCATCAGAGCAGTGGAACCCCCGCTTCGTACTCAGTAGTATTTTTCTTTAAAGTAAGGCAATAATAAAACGAACATGCAGGCAATGACATGTTGGATCTGCATGTTTGAGATGACATACAAAAACATGAGACTTGTTTACAAAAGGTGTAAACGCCATCGGTAATTTCAGGAAGGTTTGTGATCCTATTAAGGAAAATGTTAAAGCTTCTAGGAAGGGGGCTGTAGTTCAATTCTTTGGCAGTAGTGGTTTTTTTTTTTAGGCTAACAGAAGCATTACGAATATGCACATGTGGGTTCTCTGTTGGGAAACATCTCCTGGGACCATTGTTTAGCTGATGCTGAGCTGTGCAAATCCTATAAGTTTGCCATCATCAGGAATATCTGAGCCTTCGACACCGGACGCCTGGAACACAAGGAACAGAGATGCAAATAGCACCAGACATGCTCTGCCCTGACACCGTGCCTCCTACCACAACGAGGTACATCAGATACAGGCTGGGGAGGGAGCAGGTACAGACAGCTGAGCATTATGTTCAATAGCTGGCCCTACCCAAAGTTAAATTGTTTTTTTTTTCCCCTTTTTTTTGGAGTTAGGAAGGGCTAGGACTCAAGCTTTGCCAATGCCTGCTCTGACTAGGGCTACGTGCACTAAGCAGGGAGAAAGAAGCAAAACCAGCTTATTCACCGAAAAGGTCAGAAGTAACATAATTCACTGCTTTCACTACCACCCATCTGGTTACACCCTTGCGGTGCTACTAAAATTCCCTGTGCCTTTCACCACTTCCGCAGATTTGATCTGCTGTTACCTCTTCCAGCCTCTCTTAGCTGGCCCCCACCCCCAAATTTGTTCCTCAAAGACCCTTCTCCCCCGCTCTCCTCCAAGAAAGGAGCCAGTGGCACTTCCTAGCCCACTTACCTGCCACTTCTGGGCCAGTGTACCCTCGAAGCCCAAAATACCCCAAAAAAACCTTTCTGTAATATTTTGGTACCTTTAGTGGCCGGGACAGGGCAATGCCTGTGTTAGCATTAGATTTGGATTGCACACATTAGATGCCTACAGGAGACGACCACAGGCACCTCTGTGCAACGCTTTATCTTTGCGAGTGACAGCTGGGTCAGTTAGGGAAGAGGGATAAATACCAGTTTGAAAGTGACGGATCTGTTTGCCTGGGGCTCTTCCACAATTTTCTGCAAATTAGCTGCGACTGAAATCACACACAGACAACAAGAAAAATGGGCAAATTAGGACAGGCTAGAGAAAAACCATCCCAAAGTCACAAGGCCTCTTTATATGACTCCAAATTAGAATTGTTTAAAAAGATACAGGAAGTTCAGGCCTCCATTAGACTCAATCTATTTAAATCTAAAGCTTTAAACCGTGAAAACACTGTCACTTGTTACAATGCTTCTTTTTCAAAGGTTTTTCCTCAAAGTGATGGGATTAGAAACAATGAACTAGCCAATTGCACCTGAAAACCCAGCTCCTCCTGCACTTTCAGCCCTCCCAGATGCTGCAGGCTGTGCCTAAGGAAGTCTTGCTTGCTGTAGCTGAAGCACACAGGCACTGTTAATGGCTTAAAGTTTCCCTGCTGCATAAAGGGACACATTTGTTTAGGAATCTGTTGCTGGAGGTAGCTGTTCACATGCACTGGAAGTGCAGCAACACGTGCTGTTGCCTTGGGCCAACTGCACCACGTGCGCTTCACACTTCCTTCCACAGCCTGCCTTAAAATGAAATAAAATTAAAAAAAAAAACCTGGCTTATTCCAGTCCCAGACCTCTCTTGTACAGAGCCTCTCAGCAGCACAGGCTCGTGCAGCAATTTGGCAGTGCCTGTGTCAGATGAGCTTGATTTAGCTCATGCACTGATTAGCCTTCGTTTTGCACACAAGGAACATTTGCTTCATCATCTTTCCAACCAGATCATCTGCCTCTGAACTGACAGTTGCCTAAATGCACTAGCACAGAACTGCCACTAGAATTAAAATTAACAGCAGTTTTGTGGAGCTGTTGGAGAAGAGGACAGAGGACAGAGAGAACTCTCCTTGTACCCACTCATCAGGTCACTTTAAAGATGCAGAAGTGACTGAAATGGTTAGAGCAGACGAAATTGTTTGTACTTACCTATTACCAGATCTCTGCCATCAACAAGCCCTGCTGAAATTAGTTCTTGAGACACACCATCAGCAGTATCTGTGGGGGAGCAACACAAGAGCCAGTTACCAGGCACAAGAAGTTGTCCAACTGATGGAGGCATCGTGCAAACCTAAAAGAAACTTGTGCAAACCAAACAGCAAAACTGTTCTTCACGACCTTCCACGTGGAGGGCAACAGCCCAACAAACTGCAAGATCTGTGCTGAGATGTCCCTCAGTCAATTCTTCTAGCTACAAGTTTTAAAGATGGGAGCCAAAGCCACAGAAGGGCAGGGGAAGAAACTTGCACACACTTGTGGGTGTCAGCGAGCCTGCTGCCCGCAGCAGTGCAGTGAGGCAGCTCTGAGCTACGCCGTAAAACTCAGTAAATTCACTGAAAGTCTGAAACTAAATCCAGCTCCGTAAAATTCACTGAATGCCTGTGCTTGGGTCGTGTCGATGAGAGTTTTACTGCAGTGGTCTCTGACAGCAGTGCTCCAAGCACTTGCTAACAGCCTAGACATAAGGCACACCTTGGAATACCCTTTTAGGAAAGCCCCATGGACAGACGCTTCCACAGACACAACTGAACAACTCTGAACACAGAAGTTCCCCTTCACCAAACCCACCCTGACATGCAGGACTTTCACACCAGCTCACCTCTCCCTGGGGTAAATTCAAATCGGATATCATTGAGCTCTTTTTTCGAATTCCTGTGGGAAGAAGAAAATTTTATATAGGAGAGTACATTTCATTGCACCGAGCAGCGCCCAGGAGAATGCGCTATCACTGCAGAATCAGTCTGTGAGGAGAGCTGAGCTCACCCCTGCACCTTTTTCCCCTTGCAGGGCAAAAACTGCTCACTTGGCTGTGCTTTGGGAAGCCAGGCTCTGTGTTGGCTGCCTGTCAACTTCACAGACCTGAGTGGGCTGAATTTCAGGATACACGAGGGCCACAACGTGGTGTAAGGCCACTTACAACCCTTTGTGGAGTGCCCTTACAACCCTTTTTCTCCTTTCTCTAGGAACATAAACCAGAATCCACGTCTTGAACTGGATAAAAAGCTCTTCCATCTCAGAACTGGCTGATGTCTAAAGCTGTGCCTCAATACCCCGATGATCCACAACACAAGGACCCCTGAATCCCTGACTCCATTTACGGAACCCAGCTAATTCTTTCCCTCCCAGCCCACTGGAGTTTGGGAGATTTATACAAATACCAAAACCTCTTTCAACCTACAGTTCTTGCCAGGCTGAAGAAGCAGCGAAGATGAAACCTGCACCCAGGGTGGATGAAATCCAAATCCAAGCTGACAAACACTACAAGGCCACCACCCTTTTAATTGAAGGGGCAGATAGCAAGGTGGGCTACAGAAATCTCCCCGTGTCCCTCTCCACAAAGGCTCACCTTACCAGAACAGGGCAGTTTTGTGTCCTTACCTTAACCTTAGTACGAGGCTGATGGGGACTTTCGTATCTTCCTGTACCGGAGCTGCAGCAGGGGCAGGTGGGGCCTGCAATAGGATTAAGTTATTTTAAAACAAAGACCTCCTTTCTCTCGTATTAAACCTAGAGATAACCTCGATCGACTGTAAATACAAATTAAAGTTTAACCCATCGTTGGAGCCATGACACTACTGTGAAAAACAATGAGTATTAAATGGAAAAACTTTATGCAATAATTCAGGAGGTTCTCTGCAGTTGTCTTTAAAAGAAGAAAAGCTACTGAGCTGTGAGAAACGTCAAATCAGCAGGAAACTTCAGAAAAGGTGCTAAATGTAAAGAGACTGCTTGCTTTGCCTCAAAAACTAAGGTTTTGGGGCACTCATGACAGCTTCAAGACCTCACGTGTTTTAATCCCTGCCCCAAAATATCTGATTTTAAAAACTGATACAGTTGTGAAGAGCACCTAGGGAAAAATAATTGGTAGATTAGCATATTCTTCAATTACTTTTTAGTGAAATTGAAGACTTTAGGAGCATCTAGCAGTGAATTCAGAGCTGCCTATTCTCACTTCTAAATTACCTCTGAATAATTATTGGCACACGCAGTCAAAGCATTTTATAGTGCTCAGCAGCAGACTTCCAGTGGGAAGGATCCATCTTTCTAACACTACTGATACTTCCAGTGAAGTACTAATTATCAATCAAACTCCACAAAAAGAAGGAAAAAAAAACAGAAAAAAGTCAATTACTCTTCCACTGTGCAAATCATCTGTGCTGCACGTGCAGAGCCAGGGGTTTTAAATCTGCAGTAACAAGACAGACAACGCCTGGCTGATAATTGAAGCCTAGAAATCTTGACCAAGTTCTTTTCCATCTAGATCGTTTGCTTTTTCATGAGAGAAAATGATCGCCCTTTGTCTAAGAGGAGTATTTTACTCCATCTGTTGGTGTTCTCCTGCCACAAACGCAGCTCAGTGCTACCAACCATACTTTTGGTCTTGTTGAAGCCTGAAGAAGTTTTTTTTACAAGCTCAGTGAAAACAAACAAGAGCCCACCAGTCTGCAGAAAGGTAGCCAGGGAGTTACAGGAACTGAAAGAAAGCTATAAAGAGGTGCATGCTGACACAAAGAGCCATAAAGAAGAGCAGGGTGACACGCGGAGCTATAGGGAAGGACGCAGTGACACAGGGGCATGAAGTTCACCTCAGGCCAAGCTACCAACAAACGAGCTATTGGGGACGAGTGGCAGGGAGCAGGATACTCTGCTAGTGCAAATCAAAACACTCTGGTTGAGGCCAACGCCGCTACATCAATTCACTGAGCTGACAAGTCCCGGCCTTCACTGCTGCTGCAGTTTCAACTGCTGCATGAAATTCAGGGATTAAACACTGGCCCCTTTTCAAGAGATTTGAAAGGATTTGATTTAAGCGTTAAAGCTACTTTTACCGTAGCCAAGAATGTGGCAGCCCCCAGCCCTCCTGGTTTTGTTTAATGACTAAAGCATCAGCTCTAATGGCTTTGTAAACAGGAACACGAGCTGACTGCAGGGAAGTGATACACGGATCTTTTCGCTTGCTTTATAAGAAAAATAACGGAATGTTTCTAGGAAGGACTCATTTCAGTTATTTTTCTAACCCAGGCTGCCAAGTTTCTTCCCTCTGGCTCTGCCAAGGGGTGATGCTATCTTGGACCTCTCCGGCAGGGCCAGCCTCTGCCCACCAACAAATAGGAACATAACATTAGTGTCTTTTATAAAGAGGTGCCATCACTCAGAAGCCTGGCAAACTCGGCGGTGCTTTACTCCAGCAAGCCACAAGACGTGTTCCAAGTATCTCAGTAATGATTTGGTTTGGCCATTTTTCTCTTTTTAAACACAAGTCAGTGCTCTTTCCCAACTCTGGCACGTCTGCCTATCTGACCTATTCCCTACACTTTAAAGTGATGTACCTAAAAATTGAACAGGGGCTTGTCGAGCTTTTACATCCCCTGTTCTTCCCCTCCAGAATCCATTCCGCTCAAAATGGATGCTTGAAAAGTACAAGATTCAGAGCTTCCCAAAGACGGAGTTTCTCTGCTATTTTTGACTGCTCCAAGGACAGTTTCAGGCTTCCTGTCTCTCCTTCGAAGCCAGGAGAACCTGGATGTTCTGCTTTCTTCTTCTCATTTTTTCTCTCCATTCTTATTCCATAGACTGCAGCAATGCTGAGACACAATCAGAACCTGTTTGTGCTGCACCTTAAACACACTGCACCTCTTTAAACACCAGGAACAAGCAGCTGCCACTCAAACGACTCTCCCTTCGTACCTTTAACCCTGCCTCAAGCCAAACATTACACTCCCTGAAGAGCAGAAAAGCACAAATCACTGCTTACCCACGGAATATGAACAAAAAACTGCTGAGCCCACACTGGCTGTCTTCATTTTGGCAAACCAGCAGGCCAGCTGTCTCTTCTATGCAAGCAGCAGCACTACAGCAACCCCAAACAAACAATTTCTAAGGGTTTAGCTCATTTTAGCATGTCTTGAACAGAACAGTGAAGTGCAAAGCTGAAAGCTGGCATGAAGGCTGTCAGATCTCACCTGGGCTGCTGCCGGGGCTGCTGGAGGAGCCTGGCTAGGTGGAGGTACAGCAGCTTGAGGTTGTGCAGGTACTTGTCCTGCAGCCTGAGGTAGTTGAGTAGGTGCCTGTGCTGGAGCACTGAGCGAAGGACCTGGCGGCTCGGCTGATGGGAATAGCTGCAAGCAAAAAGGTGTTTGAATGAGTTAAGAAAACCTCAGAGTTTGGACTCAAGCACTTGCTTCCCACAGAGTAATTGTTTGCCACATAAATCACGTCGAGAAGTTTGATGCCAAAGGCATTCTCAGGCCCCAAGGACACTAGCACTGATCCCAAGTTGGTGTTCAAGAGGTTTAATGTTTCCTCACATCCAGGGACCCTTCTTGCCCTGCCATTTTCAGTTTTATTCACCAGTAAAGAAGGATAAGAAACCAAGACAGCAGCATGACCGTGGATCTTGGACCAAAATTAAATATTGATGCTAGCAAGGCTGGATGCACACAGACCATATCCTACCTTGGAAGAGAGCTGCCCTGTCCAGTAATTTTCCCTTTCTCAAAATCTGAGGCCTATGGATATTTTGTAGTAGCCATACAGTCAGAGCACAGCAACTCTGCTTTGCTTTGTACTTCTCTTTAGAGAACACAGCCTAGCAAAGCACTTCAATATCTATCAATAATTTATCTGTTCATAAAACAAATGCCAAGAGTCAGAGCACTGGGGGATTCAACAGAAAAGTGCATTCAGACACAGTGCATGCTCTTCCAAAAAAAAATGTGTGCCATATAAGGGTGGTGGAAGGAGATAAATGAGTAACTTGTTTGTTTGTTTGTTTTTTAACCTCTTGACTTATTCAAAACAGAGAATTTGATTTTGGCATGGTAGCCAAAGGACTGCAAGCTTGCTGGCTTCTTCAGCGCACCCTCCAACTTACTGCACTCAGGTAAAGGAAGCGTAACTCGCCTTGCACGTTTAAAAGCCTGGGCATTAGACCCTCGAACTACAATATATATCAAGGGATGGATCACAGTGGAGAAATTCAACCCAAACAGATCCTGGTGTTCAGTTTTTTCTTTCAATTTAGCCTTTGCTTAAAATTGCACTCCCAGAACCGTAGTCTTTCTTATAATCATTCCTTGCAAAGAGGTGAAAGTAGAACAGGGCAGCCTAACCCAAAACTGATTTCTGGGAGACCGACCTCTCTATATCTTCCCACACAGGTAGGGAAAGGAAAGACATGACACATTCTCTAGAAGATAAACAGTCTCTATCACTGAAAGATAAGATATACTTATATTCATAATGTCAGAAACACAGGACAGAGCTGAAGGCAGATTATAAATTGCAGCTGAAGTTTTGTTTATGATCTAATTCTATTAGAGATTTATTTCACAGCTTTCAGCACCGCTGCCAAACCAGTGAATTAGACCATGCTTAATAGACCTTTAAATTTTTTAAAGCAATCAGAACACCGTTGTTCTGTTTAGATTCTTCTTGCAATCAATTCACTTACAAACTTTTGCCACAGCAAGTGAAGTTGAAAAGATATGCACTAAACATATCTTAGAATGACCTCTTAGCATTAAATAGGCAATGATTAATTTTCTGTGGAGGTTTTCAAGCACAGCTCAGCCAGATACTAGCTTCTAGTTTATACAATATTGTTTTCAAAGGCTAATAAAAACACACTTCTTGTAATAGAAGTAACAAGACACCATCATTTCAGGAAGCAATTTGCATTTAAAACTTACCTCTGAATTCTGTACAGGTTCTTTCACTCTGGGAGACTGAAAAAAAAAAAAAAAACACAAGAAAAAGTTATTATTGCCTTGACAAAAATTAAATTTACTGATGAAAAGGACCTTTCAGAGCCACATTGAACAAATGAAACCTACATTGTTTTCAAATTATGTATATATATTAAGTTTCATAATGAAATGGAGGCCACAGTCTGTTGCCAACCTAATCATAATACCTCAAAACCTGCAGTCGTGCTGCAGCATTGCAGTTGACAACCAGTGTATAAACTGCTGTAATAATTAACCAACAGCAAAACCGAGTCCCCTTGAAGATCATTCAGATTGGATCAAATTGCTCACACACTGAGATGGCAAAATCCATTTTAAGCTACCCACGTCTTGCAGAGAAATACAGGAAACAGATCAGCCTCAGCCTTCCATGTGCTGCTTTAGAGAAAGAAATCTCTTGCCTGCTTCTTCTCGCCCTTGGACTCTGCACCATGCTGTGCTCTCCATGAGAGAGAGCAGAAAACTGACGGCTGTGCACGAGTTCAGCAGTGCAACTACCAGAGGAATGGGGAGGAAAGTGCAGTCAAAGCAACGTGGCCAGGCCTTGCTTATCAATGAGCAAAGACAACGAGCATCAGTTATTTCACGTGAGCAGAAAGGAATTGCCAAGTATTCCAGGGAATCTCTGCAATTAGGATATCCTGCAGCTCTGACTCCTAACGGGTCAATTACTGCCTGGAGATAAGATAGGCAGGGTGGCTTGGTCCATGCTGGGATTAACAAATTGAATGTTCTTTCTGTGCCTAGAGGTCTAAAAGACAGGTTGTGGTCAGGATGGGACGAGTCTGACAGAAGAAAAGTTTCATGGTGCTACTGACTAGAGGCAGTTAGTTTATGAACTAACCAATGCCACTAATTTAACCAAAGCAGGTCAGGGTGATTTGTAATGGATGACCCAGAGGTATCTCAGGAGAGAAAATAAAAGGTTTTATTCACAGAACAGCCACTTGCAAAAAGCCCTCTGGCCAGGAGGAGGAGGAACAGATCCTTCCCAGTGACTAAGTGAGGACAGGGTCAGGAAAAAAGTCATGCAGCTGGAAAGGTAAAAGCTGAAATCCAACCTGGAAGGGTAAAGGCTGAAACCCATCTCGATATGTTAAGCCTTCACATGACAGTGACCAGGAAAAGACAAAAAATGTGGCATTGCTCCCTGAGACAGACAGCCACACTCCACATCTGCAGGCTACGGCTTCAGTGCTGCTCTTTCAGGCAGAAAGTTCACAGCTAGGGTACACGGATGCCTCGAGGAATAACTAAAAGGAGCTTGTCTGAAAGATCACAGTGTGCTAGACGCTGCACAGGCAAGTCTGGGGACACTGGCCCTGCCCCACAGCTACCAACCAACCCAGATCAACGGCAGACAGAGGTAAACTAAGGAAAAACATGAGCAGGCAGAATGGAAATAAGATAAACATCAGAAGTCATTTATTTAAGGCACAAGTAGGATGACCCTGGGGATGTGCTTAAATTTATTAATTTACTTTTGCCTGTGTAACCCAAGAAGGGAGCAACCAGTGAAATGTGACCACACCACACACCGTTACACAGATTTATTGAGCAATGGAAGGTGAATGACTTAAAAACCCACATAGTACAACTGTATTGGTGTGAATTCAAGGTTTTAAATGCAGAGAGCAAGGAAGTTTAGCAAGGATTCAGATATAAAATGTAACGTTGAGCCAGCAAGTTCGCATATTCAACCAATTAAGCAGAAATTTCTGGTTCCGTTTACAAGCATTTGTCTGCTTTCAGGTGCACTCCTAGCAACAGACTCGTAAAACACACATTTGTACATATTAATTTCACCCTCTTTTTTCTGTAAAGTGAAAACAAGCAAAAAAATGCAAACACTTTACACATAAGCTTTTATACAGGATAGGACTGAAGTGTTTTAGCAAATAAAGTCAATGGGCCAGCTATCCTTTTAGGGTGACAGCAGTAAAATGCAGGTGTAGCTGGAATAAAAGGTGACACTTAGTGAGTATGTCATTCTATTCAACAATTTAGTTGAAATTGCAATGGGATTATGGGCAGGCAGAATTTATATGGTGTTTGAAATATGGTCTAAACGCAGCATTGACACTAGACCTCAGTAATATCCCTGTATTTGGGGCAAATACTGGCAGTTTAGATCCAGGTCTTAAGACTGCTTGAAAAGGGACCAAATGGAAGAAGTGCACGGGCATTCCTGTTCTTTCACCTGAAGAAAATAACTCAAAAGCTTGCAGTGGAAAGACACCTAGGGTAGCTCTCAGGCACCTAAGAAGCTATGTCCAAGATACCTTCCTGACTTCCATACTGGTTTTGGTCTCCCGAAGATCCGCGTTGCATCTACGTGGGGTGTCCCCAAAATGTCAATATTCTTCTACAATTAGAGTAGCTGAATGGAGACCTGCTGCTCCAACAACCATCCTTTGTTAAAAGACTAAAGGTTTCCTGAATGGGAGGCCTAAAAGTTAAGGCCAAGCATGGCCTAAATTAAAGAAATCAGAACAGACAGAAGTACAAGGAACTATGCCAAAGCTCCAAGAAAATAAACTCGCTTGAAAAGGAGCTTGTAAACATGTGTTTTTTCTGTGTAAAAGGACTGAAACAATTAAGTACTGTTCAAAACACAGCAAGCAGTGGTAATTCATAGGATTCTGAGCTTAGATACAAGACAGAACAAATTCTAAGAAATCCCTGAAATAGAGGTAGGGTCTTTTACAGTATTCCATCCTAAAAATTGATCATTTTAGCCTATAAGAGCTATTTAGAAGATTTGAGCTTATAAAGAACAAGAGGAAATGACCTTAAGTTGAGCCAGGAGAGGTTTAGGAAGGATATTAGAAAAAAATTCTTCACTGAAATGGTTGTGAAGTATTGGAACAGGCTGCTCAGGAAAGTAGTTGAGACACCATCCCTGGAGGTCTTCAAGAAATGTTGGATGTAGAGCTTAGAGACATGGCTTAATGGCAGACTTGGCAGTGCTAGGTAAAAGGTTGGACCAGGTGGTCTTGGAGGTCTTTTCCAACCTAAATAATTCTGTGAATGTCAGTAGTACCCACCTGGCACCAAGAGATCCTCCTTGACTATACATGAAGCTTGATACAGTAAGCTCTTTTAAAGTCACAATAGCTATTGCCACAAATTACTATGTGGAATTATTGTATTAATAATAAATTTAAACATTTAAATTAATACATTTATTAATAATAATACCTTTCAACCCCCAAGCATTTCCAAAGATGCTAAAGACAAAATCTTGTTTTTAATGTTTAAGTATCTACACAACCAGCAGTAGAAGGAAAGAGAAAAATGAAAGTTACAAAGCGATAAATGCTTCAAACCAAAAATGTTTGCTTGTTTTTTCCCTTTCGTATTGAAAAGTTTCCTTTAAATAGCTTCCTTTAAAAAGTTTCCTTTTAGGTGTAACTGGTAGTACAGAGCTAGGCCCGCTGTGGGTCAGCTACCAGCCCTAAGCACAGGCCACACCGATTTCAGTTCCATCCTGGAGAGGGCAGCAGGACAAAACCTCTCCTGACACTTCCAGAAGAAAGCATCTCGAGCAGGCAGTAACCTTCAGGAGAATATCCCAGCTCGAGTGCATTAGTATGCTGAGATGGGAGCAGGTCGCCTGACTTCATGTTCCCAATTACGCCCAACAGCCCTGAATTAGAGCAGCTGCGCCCCAGGACGAGTACAGAAAAGAGATCAATAGACTTATTTTAACCTTCAGTCTGCTTTCTCTGGCTGCAAACTCAAGGGGCAGGATAGCAACAGCTGAACCTTACTTCAAACAAGGCTGCATGCTTCCCAGAGATATACTATAGAGACATACTATAGATAGGAATCAAAGCTGAGATATCAGAGTTTGAGGACCCACCCTGAGCTGTGAAATTGCTGCTCTGCCTTCCTCACTTTCTTCATCTAGTTCATCATCACTCCACTCCCAGCCACCATCTTCAGTCTTATGAAGACGTCCACTGGAACCTGGGACTCTCCTTACCTGCTCAGCACAAAGACAGAGAAAAGACATGTCAAGAAGACAGCTTCTAAAATTTTTGTTATTATTATTTTTTTTAAGTAGAAATGCACAAGAGCATCTTCAGCCAGGGCATTCAATTATTTTATTAAAATATCTTAGCTCTATCTAGAAAATGCTATACTACTATAACTCTCATAAAAAATGTGAAAAAAAAAGTATAAAAACTAATACAACTATAATAGCAAGAGCCCAGGAGCTTTACAGTACCTTTTTGGATCTTTCAGTAATTGTCGGTGCTCTCTGCAACATCTTCTCTTGTAAAAACTCTTTATTCTGGAAAAAAAAAAAAAAAAAAAAAAAAAAACATTTACATTGCTGAAAATACCCTTTGATTCCTTCAGTGCCTCTGAAAATGAAACTGCTTCAAGTATTTTTAGCAGAAAGTGTTTTATATGCTTCACACTCTCCTCCCCTCAAAGAACTGAGCTCTAAAAAGTTAATCACTGTCTTCCTTTGGACTACAGTATATGGTCTTTCATCTTAAATACCTTTTAAATTAGCAGTTGCACTTTTCCTGCACGCACTGATAAGAAGTTAACGATTGAGGAGTTGTATAAAAGTGTCTGATTTACTGGGGAACGTGATCATACTCATTACATCACAGCATCTGATATCCTGCTGAGACATTTTAGGTTCTTCCCTTTGCAGATCTTACAGCATCTGGCTCTAGCCACTTTGCTGTTTCCTCTCCCGAAATTTATGCCTGTCCTACTGTCAAAGGCAAGCCTCAGATGTCAGGCCAGGACGCGGGAAGCCCCACACGCAGGGGTAATGAGACGCAGGAATAGGGGCAGCAGGAGTTAAAGTACAAGCACAGCACGTGTGAAGTTTAGTGAGGAAGTAAATGCAGTCATCACGGTAAGTTAAATATTGGGGAACTGCTGTGACGCTTTGCTTTATTAAATTTCCTCAACCAGCTGCATTTTGATACATGGCTCTCAGCATTATCAAAACATACTTTGATATAATATAAACTGGGTTTATATTTGGTTCAGTATAAGCGTGTAGAAGCTGGACTCCTCAAGTTACAGCTGTCAGTTTGGCAGTGGCTAATGTCTGAAAATCATTTAAGACTGAATGCTAACTGGCACATATTTTCACTCTGGGTTTAAGTATTGCCTCTTTCACAATAACGTTAATTTTCTATCACCACATAAGCTAATATGTTACTCTGTCACAGTTTAATGAAAGCATGAAAAAGATTTTGTACACGGTGAAGTGTGACGTGAACTAAAACGTGAGCCAGAGAGAAAGGTCAGCAATGTGTAACCCATGTGTAACCTCCTTGTCACTTTGGACACCAAATGTGCATTCACTACACAGACGCAAACAATTCAGTTGCCTAAAACCCCATTAGGGATAACAAAAAACTAGTTAATGCTGTCAAGAGTGCAGACATCAACTAAACTTGCCCTAAAGCAACCTCTTACATTTCCTAAGCTGGCTCACCCTCTAGACTTCCTTGGCTGCACATACTGGATTTGTGTTAACGTTAATAGGACACCCTGCTCCTTTATGCATGCCCAGATGTGGCCATTCCCATATAAACACCTGAATTTGGGAGCTGAGTGCTACTTTCATTAGGTGCTGACACTGCTACGCTGTCCCAGGTTCAGATATCTCTGACACTTTACTGGTGTTCTGCTGTAAACCCCATTATTTTGATGACAAACATACCAAAGAGAAAAAAAATAAGCACACAGAAAACGTTTCCTCATTCCCCTGGAAATTAAATTCTCCCTTATTTTGGTTTGAGTCCCCCGACAAGACGTCACAGATGGGATAGGCACTGATCAGCAGGCACTAAGTAGATAAATGCTCGCTGGCTGTTTGCCCTATGGCTATAAACCAGAATTTCCCACTATTTTATGTCATAGGATTTTCACTTTCCCTAACACAGGGCATAACAGCGTCAGGTAACCCTCCACACAGAGAGCCTTATTCACTGTTTTGCATAGAGACTGATCAGAGAGCTCACTAAAGCACAAGCTATAGCTACTGCCACGGAGACCTTTATGGCTGGCCATGCAGCCAGAATGGCACCGGCACAAGAGGAGAAAAAAAGCCCAAACCCACTGAAAAGCCATTTAAACACTCGAGAATTTCTAAATAATTTCTCCTGATGGTGGCATACGCAAGGAGGTAGAGAAGAGAGGTTTCATTCTGTCCGTTCACAATGCCCCATTCAGCTCAGCCAGCTATGCTGGCCCCCACACCAGTAAAGCTCTCCCCATACCTAGCATGCATCTGGTAACTCCTCTCTCCTCCCTCTGCACAGATCGGTTTAGGAAGTGTTTTCTTACCTTTGCTTTCGTGAAAAATTTGTGTCTTAAAAGTTCTGCTGCTGTCGGTCTGTGGATAAAAACAGGTAGAGAAAAAAAACGTTATAAATGTTCCCTTTCAGCGCAAGAGTTTTCCAGCTTGTTGCAGCTGTAACATGACAGCTCCTAAGGGCATCAGCTTCTCCTGTATAAGTGCCCTAAAAGTCACTCAAAGTAAATTTTACACCACCAGTCCTTTAAGCATCAGTGCATTCTGATCAAAGCCTGCTGTGAGTTAACTGGGCAGAGAACGGCCCCATTTTGATGCTGAACTTGGCTCTCAGAGCCTGGCTGACACGACCACAGGAGAAATTTGCTGCCAATTGAGACAAAGGATCCTCACCTAGAGCAGGAGGCAGGACTTGCCATGTGCAAGTGGCTGAGCTATTGCAGACACACCTGATTGTATATGTGCAATTAGTTCTATTAAATGCAAGTGGGACAAAGAACCTTTGTCTAACGTCAAGTCTAAATTATTTTCCCTTTTACATTACACTTTAGGACCAATACTGAGAAATAAAAGCCATCTCTTGGTCAATTCAGGAGTTTTCTAAAGACTCAGCTGCACAGCTGCTTGAGCGTATCTGATTCTGCAAGCTGCTCTTCACAGGCAACCTCCTGCTCCCATAGTAAAGACGATGACAGCAGCTGTTGGTGGTGTTTGAGAGAAGGGGGATGTCACCATTCCAGGTGATTATGGTTAATTTTGATCAGCGCACATTCTAACCTGCAGGGGCAGGACATGCTTTAAAAATGAGGAAGAAAAATAACAAGCTGGGGTGAAAAAAAAAAATGCTATCAGCGTTTATCATGCACTCCACTGGATTCATTAAGCCTTTCAGACATAAAGCTGGTTAGAAGAGAGAGAGCCCATCTCACGACCTGTAAGAAGCTTTTGTTCCAGGATCTGTCACAGGAGGGAACTGCAAAACATCTTCATTATTTGTAATTTAGGAAGGGACTTTTCCCTTTCCAGAACCAGTTTGCTTACTGAGGACAAAAGAAAATTAAGTGGTATAAATGTAAAAATCAATCTGTGGCAATGGTTCTTTGTGTTTTGTTTTGGTTTTTTTTAATCTTACATTTGAAGGAATGATATTCCTAATGCAGGACAAACACGCCTTTAACCAGCTTCGCTGAGGCTCTCCTGTGCAATGAGCTGTGAGTTTTAAACAGTGCCGTAGGCAGCTGGACCTTCACCCAGCTTCAGATGCTGCCACTGCACAACAAAATAAAGCTATCCTGGGAACCACAGCATGCACACCACCCCCTCGGTGGTATTTCTAACACCACGCGGTGTCAAGCTACTGTTAGAAGGAAGACTGGAAGTGTCGTCAGGTCACTTGAGCAATCTGTATTGACGAAAACACGTTGGGTAAAATTTGCCAGTGTTTTTTCCTTAATTTGTTCCCCCCAAAACAAATACAACATAATTAATCAAGTCAGAACGACGCAGAAAGCCTTCTTTACGCTGGCAATTTTTAAAAAGTTTGTTTACAAAGCTTTGCAAATAAACCCATGCTGCCCAACACCTAATTGCTGATCTACAAACACCAAGCAGCTTTGACCAGAAACAAACCATGAACTGCAGTCACCTGTTGGAGGCAGCAAGGGGGAGAATGGTCTCATGCAACAGGGGCCTGGGATGCCCTCGTTAACCCAAATGACAGCTGCATGCCCTGGCCAGGCACGGCGACAGACATTTATCCTTAAAAATAAGGACAGCCAGAAGAATTTGCTGCTACACAGCAGAATTGCTGTGTTCACCATGACCACAAGGTTGGAGAGGAGTTTTGACATTTTGTTTTCCTTCAGTTGACTTTGGCGTTACCAGTTCTCACCTTTTCTCCGGGTCTTTTTGTAGGCATGAAGAGATCATCTTCCTAAAGGATTTCCCATACTTCTTCAGCATCTCTTTGTCTTGCACGCCCGTTTCCAAAGACGGAGGATCGTTTTGTAGCGTCAACATTAACACCTGGAAGAATCACGTCTATTGGCAGTGAGATTTTTCTTGGCTTTCGTTAGGTACAGAGCTTTGGAACACAGCATTTTCAACACGCATCTGAGCCAACAAGGTCTGTTTCACTGCAGCAGCTCTCGCAGGAAGCCTGAACAACTTTTTTTCTTAAGAGTTTCAGCTGTCTCTTCCTAGTTGCCAGACAGCACAAATTCACCTCACTACCTTTCCCTCAGGAAAACTACAGGGTCTCTCCTTTTCCCTTTTTTTCCTATAGCCACCAAGGAAACAATTATTTTCAAACCTTTACACCTCAGAAAATTCTGTCAGCTGAGAGTTTCAAAACTCATCCAACACAGAGAGTTGCCTCCACCTCCTTTCCTCAAGAAGCCAGGCTAATTTATACCCAACAGCCCAGGCTACTGCCTCCTATTGCATCTCCTAGCCCACAGAGCAGTCTGCAGGCCAAACCAAAGGTCAGGATGAGCTTTCAGGCAGGTTTGGCGCTGTGAGAGGCATAAGGACTGCAAAACTTTCAGCAGCCTTCCTCATTTCAGCTGAGCGGTCGTGCAAGATGTTTGATTCAAAGGCTGTTTAGGCTCCCCTGCAGATGTCTTGCATTCAGAAATGAAGTTAGTGTAAAAATGCTGTTAAATTTCTGTAAAAGCAGAAGGGCAACATGAAACAACGAGCGCTCACTTCCATGTACCACCACAACAACAGGTGAAGACATGTCTCACACAATCAATTTGGCTTGATGGGTACTTATCTCCTTCACCTCACTCAGATATTCCAAAGGAAAAGACAAAAATTGCTCATTTCCATTTTCGCTTGCCACCTACCTACAGATGAATATCTATTTTTAGAGAAGGAAGCAGCAAAAAGCACCTTTAAAAAAGCTTTCAACAGCTCTATTGCTTAGGGCAGCAGCAGCCCATCAATCTAGCTGCAATTATACAGTCTGCAAAGAATTCAGGTTTTCTTCCCCCTCTCCTTGGAATGTCACTTAATGCACGGGTCATTTTGCTGCACAGCCAAATTAACCTGCAGTGAAATACCATCACACTCGGTACATAACACAAAAAGGCCCTCTCACAGGCTGAGTAACTGGAACCCACACTTAGTAACTGGGAATTAATAACCTACCGCATGACAACGTGATGCTAAATGGGTGATCTTTGTATTCGAAGCCACAGCCCGTGCACTGAAATCAATAAACAGAAGCACGGCTTGCAGAAGCTACTGCAGAATGCTACTAATAACCAGCAAGCAGATGAAAATACCAGTGAAAACAGCAACAGCTAAATCAGCACAACATTTCCCTGAACTCCTCACTGTTCTGCCACAATCACTGGCACGGTATGAACTTCAGTGGCATTTCCAAACCACTCAGCCACTCAACAGTCTCAGCACAGAGCTCATCCAAATTTGCAGTGAATACTGTTCCCCAAGAGTTAAACCACTGCAAAGCTCTGGCATTTGAAGAAATACGTGGAGGCCCCTCCTCTAATGAGTTAGGACCTACTGGACTCCCAAACGCTATTGTAATTAAGAGGTGGGAGGAGATGCACCCAAGTCCTAAAGAGATGACACCTGCCTCGCATAGGATTCCAGCAATAAAAGGACTTGGAAAAGGAAAACTTGCTACATGATATGCCTGAAATTGTGGTATTTAGCAATAGTGGTACAAGCAAAGTGGCCTTCAAGAGGGTGGGAAATGCAGAAAAGGGGCCCAATGTTTTGTGGTCATGACAGGGCCGCCATCAGATCTCGCAGAGGGCCTAAGGAAGATCTCAAAGCTCAGAAGACGGGCAGGATGCTCCAAACCTCAACTAATGAGGTCAACTCTGCTAACTTTTAACATACAAACTCTTTGAAAGAAGAACAAGCTAGAAGCAGTTCCTGTTTCAATTATCAGGAAAGCGGGGAAACTTATGCAAACTAAGACAACCCAAAGTGCAAGATATTAAAAAAGATTTTTGAAGTGGCAGCGTTTAAGTAACAAAGTTTCCTCCACTTCAACTTCAATAAAATATTAATAGCACCAATTCCTTCCCATTTCCTCCTGATGTGGTACTTTCCAGAAACACCTGACCCTGTTGAGTGATTAACAGGACTGTGTTGGTGTTAATGCAAGAAATTCTTTTGGGAAAACTAGTAACAGCATTTCTGAGAGGTTTCCAGAAGAATCATCAATGCAAAAGGAATAGTTTCCCATCCCAGTGTCAGTGGATGCCAGATAATATTTTCCGAATCATTATTTACAGTGGTAACATCTGCTGCCTACGGAGAGGCTCCAGGATTGAGCCACACAGCACTTTCCTCAGGAATGGTGACCCTGGCAAGTCTCGGGATCTAAGTAAGAGCTGTGCACAGTTTCAGACAACATTGATTAAGAAGTGTATTTTTAAAAGGTGACTTCAAACATATCTAAGAACATCATGATCCAGAAACGTAAGGAGAGAGGACAAGCTCTTCAACAAAGCAGTCTGGCCAAATTCTTTGGAATGCCCCTGGGACACACAGATCCTTTGTCCAGCATGAGTATTCGAAGACCTGCTCACCTTCATCGGAGGGTATTTATGGTAAGGAGCTGCCCCTGTAGCCAGTTCGATAGCAGTGATCCCAAAGCTCCAGATGTCTGCCTTGAAATCGTAACCTCTGACCTGAAAGATATTGGAGAACGTTAGCACCTGCGCCTCCTGGTGTCGTACACCACCATCTACTTCTTTAGGGTTTTAATTATCCTTTCAGCATTTCCTTACTCTCCCCTCATTTCTCATCAGGAATTTGGAAACACCACTACTATAGTGTAACCAGATGGAAAAAAATACTTTCTTCCTACTCTCCCACAGCTCCTAATGCTCTAACACCTCTTTGAGGGCTTAAGAAGCCACGGTCTGATGGAAACTACGGTCTTGGGCTGTGCAACCCGGGCTGCTCCATCACAGGCTTCTCCTGTGCAGAGCATAAAGGGGCACTGGGTTAACCCAGGCTCTGCCTTCTACACAAAAACACAAAGTCATTAAACAGCACAATGAAACTCTCAGAGTTAATAGAGGGACTGTTATGCCCTCGGGACACGTGCCTCACTACACTTGTAGCCAACCGCTTAATCAATCTGACTGCAGACACGCTCAACCCCGAAACTTCAGGGCTGGGAAGTGCCTGGCAGCACAGTAAAAAGCCCCTCGTTCCTGTCCGCAGCCTCGTGTTTCCCTCCCCTAATTAAGAGGAGCTTCTGCACTTGACATTAAACACAGGCTTGTTCAGGAAAATTTATAGCATTTACTTCCCCTCACGCACAGGAAAAAATATTTCATACGCCAAAGCGGTTACTTCCTCATTATCATTAGGTAATATTTTGGCACTTGCTTTCTCCACTGCAGGGGAGAGACATCGTGTACTAACTCCAAGAAGAGCTACAAAAATCAAAGTGTTTTGGCTGCTTAGCGTGGTTTGTGTTTCTTCTTGTTAGACCACGGAAAAATGAATAATGAATCAGAGCAAGGCTAATAGGCTTACTGTATTCAGCCCCACTAACGAGCTTTAAAAAGACGCCCATTGTGACAAAGCCAGGAATATTCCCCAAACTGCCTCTGAGATGATCTGGAACTTGGAGACCAACAAAACAAAAAAAAATCCCCTCCTCCGCTATTTTTCATGTGATTTGATAACTGAATTAACGTTTGTTATAGCAACAGCAGTTTGTATCTTGTACTCAGTTCTTCGACTCTGCAGGCATCGTTTTCACGAGCCTTCAGAGCTCGGAAGACTTTCTCAAGAAGAGTTTATAGAAGCCATTGTTATGGATGGATTTCAAATAATTAAACTAAACAAATCTATAGGGATCTCGTATTATTTATAAGAACACAGTAGATGAGGAAATATGCCATAAGTTTTATAAAGTGACGTTTCCTTTCACCATTTTTAGGTTTAAAGAACGACTTTTGGCACATTTCTTGTCTTTATCTTTCAGCTGATCTCAGATTCCTGCACTATACAACTCCCCATTTTAACATTTTTCATTGTATCGTGGAATCCCGCTTCCAAATGAAATCTAGGAAATTCCAATCTGCCTCTGGTAGTTCACCTTAACATCTACCCGATATGTATTAGTCACCATCCCGAGGTTAGTTTATCATCTGTTTTATCTCATCGACTTTTTTTTTGGCCATAAATCCACCAAGTGAACATTAAAAGACAACACCAGGCCATCAGGTAATAATGTACTAAAGCTCCTTAATGAGGGTGAAATAAAACAGATGGAATCAAGAATATCTACGGACCAGAGGCTAACCCACAGCTACCCCTTTCTTTTCCCCTGGTTGGATATAATGGCTCAGAGTGACACCTGCTGGAAGGCAGCAGGATGATATAAACGGGCACAAGGATTTGACAGCAGCATCCAAAACGCCTCCTTATCACCTACTGTTCACGAGTTTGATGTGCACCCTCACAGAAGTCACAAAACTGCCTCCTTGGAAAACATCTGCCCTGTCAAATACACCCCTTTTCTCAGTTTCTTCTTTCCCCCCAGTCCTTTGCTGATTGCAGCCACCCCTAAGCACCGGAGGCTGCACTGACACAAAAGAAAGAAAAGCAGGGGCAACTCCGATCCAGTTCTAGACACATTAAATGTGCTATTTTTTTTTACTTTTTCCTCCCCCTCTTAAAATTCAATAAGAAAATCCAGAAGTATGTGATGGCAGAGTGGTTCAGAAGCGAGTTCTCAAAGACAACTCCTGACTTGGGGAACGTGCCTCGTGCCCTGGGGTGTTAGACTCGAGGAGGTAGCAGGAGTGCTTTAACACATCGGCCCTGCAAAGCTGCAATGGGGAGTCACTGAAAAGGCCAAGCAGTGAAAAAGCCCTTCATAAATAGTATATTTAAACCCCTCCAAAATTAATTAAATTCCTGAGGAAGTTTTAGGTGTAGGAAAAAAATGTATTAAAACTCTCCCACTGTTTTAGCTACATTTCACTCTAGATACATGGGGGTCTCATTCAATTTTTCTGAAGTATTTTATTGCAAGTAATAGGAAAAAAGTTACAAGCCAGGTTTATTTTAATAAAACAATGTTTTTTCCTTTTTTTTTTCCCTTCCAGGAATCTTTGTAACAAAAATATTTTGGAAAAACATTTAGATGGCTGTATTTTCGCTCGGTGCACATGCCAAAACTGAAACCCTGAGCTCTCTGTCAAGCTTTTTTAGGTGATGAGGAATATTTCTCAGAATGTTTATGGCACCGAACAGCAGTGCAATAAAAAGCTCTACAAAAGGCCTTGCTGGGATGTAGCATGTTGATTTTGCTCAGCAATGGGCAGCAGAGCTTTACGTTCAACAAGGTTTTCAGGTGGCCTTCGTCAGAAGCCGTGCAGACAAAGCTGAGCCCTGTCGTTTAGTCTACGAGTAGGAGAGGACAAAAAGTGACATACCTCCACCCAACAGGAAGCATGACATCTATGAGGCAGCCAAAAAAGCAGAAGAGGAAGGGGGAGAGGCGAGCATTCCTCAATATTTACAGGCTGGGCTCTCGTAAGCCAAGAGAAACTGAAAAGCTCGAAGTCAACCGTGCGTAACTTTGCTGTGAGAACTCCCCCCTCGGATAATTTTCCATTTGCTACCTCAAATTTTCAGATTTGCCCATGCAGAAGAGCACATTACCTGACTGGCTATGTGTGTATTTAACGTGTGTGAAGCTATTTATATTCCACCTCACTCTCAGGCATGAGGGAGGGGCAGGTTAATCATCTTTATGCAACTGCTCAGCTGCCTCAGACTTACCTGGGGACAACCCTCAAGAGAAGCAACACGGCCAGAAGCTACCGAACCCTAAATAATGCACAGTACAAGCCTAGCAGCAGTACCAAAACCTAAAGACAATTCTGTGGTTTTAAGAAAGCCTTAAAGGATGCAAAATTAGCATTTTAAGTTGAAGTAAGCATGGCTGTTGTGAACAACAGGGAATTCCACGTGCAGATGGGCTAAAAGGATGCTAGGAAAAACGCTTCACCTGTTCCATCACTTCTGGTGCCATCCAGCAAGGTGTGCCCACAAAGGTTTTCCTGACTTTATTTCTGGTAATGTCGCCACCAGTGGCCAAAAACGCGCTGACGCCGAAGTCTGAAAAGCAAACAAACGAGATTTGGTTAAGAACACATCCCGAGCAAGCTGAAGGGCTTATTCCCAGCCACCTATCCAGCAGCAGACCACGCATGAGGAGTTTCCTAATGAAGAATCATCAACAGTTAGCAAGGAGTGCTGGTGGATGAATACTCTGCAGCTGACCATCCAATTACTGGGGAGAGCAAAGCGTTCGGGGCTGGCTGGCGGAGAGGAAAATTCCACTTTCCATCACAGCCCACTGGACATCTCAGCCCGCCCTCGCTCTCCTGGCAGGCCTGCTGGGGCACAAACCTGCCTCTGACAGCCTTTATTTGCATTTCTGTACGTATGTAACAAATTATTGAGCCTCGTTAGCGTCTTACTGATATTTACAGCAAGGGTTTTCTGAGCAAAAGAAGTCAACGCATAAAAATCTCCCGGAGTTTGTAACATTTGAGTGTCACAACAGCATCCTGCAGGGTGGAGGCATCACTCAGTCCCTCGTTTGGGATCTCCTGATAGCAGAACGAGCTTTGCTTGGTAATCTTCCATCACAGAGATGCTCGGTGCTTCAGCAGGACAGGTTCTGACTGCTTACCATGCCTGAGCCTCACAGGGGATGCCTTGCAGACACCCTGCACAGGGTTCCCTCGCTTGAAGCATTTTCCACAGGCTGCAGGATACTCGAAGATGCACTGTGCATTCACCCAAAATTCTTCCTTTTACAACAAAAGCACAAATCACTCTTCTATATGACAACAGCGATGCCAATGCTTTCCCAGTTACGACTGATGTGGAAAAGCAGAGCTGCAAACAGCAGCAGCGGGGTGCAGGGCCAGCAATAGGATACGAGATGTTTGTTCAGAATTAAGCATTACAAAAGAGTTGGCAACCAGGCCACTCAGGAGACTTTCCTTTGAATACAAATAAAATCAGTCAGGTGACAGGGGAACTAAACACAAACCAAAAGTATTTCCTCCCGACTCGCTCTAAACAACACTGCTTACGCCTTGCAGAATTACAGACCTACAACTGGTCTCTACAACGGAGTTTTACTCCCTTTCCCCTGTTTCTATTTTTAATTTTTAAAAGCAATCATGATCTTCGATGCCGTTTTTGAGGTTGATGACGGGCTTGGAGGGTGAGCCTGAACTCCAGGGGTTATTTTACGTAACACCAGAACGTTATTTGGGTTTGAAAACACAGCTCAGCCACTGACAGATAACTGCAACTGAGAAATCAGCTGCTACAAAAGATGCCTTTTGCAGATCTGCCAGCAACAGCAGCCACGTGAGAAGAGGGCCGAGCTTCCCCCTGCCCCACAGCAGCACTGTCACCGACCTCTCAGTACCGAGAAAGGAAATCACCCCTGGGAATAACACCACGCCGAGAGCTTCCAGCTCCCCTGGGTTAGAGGCTTCCACGGATACGAACGGAGAAACCAAGCATCAATAATTGAAGGTTCGCATTGAAGAGCAGGAGGTTGCACTGAAACGGCAGGGCTAAAATCCTGTGTTTACACCAAATGCCTCCAATCAGGGTCCAGCTTCTTCCAGATGTGCCTTTCTGTCCCATTCCCTCTTCCTGGAGGCATCCCATAGTGCTGCTAGCCTGGAATCTGTAGCGTTGTCTATCCGAACATCTATGGCTGGAGGCACTGCGACCTTTATTTCTCTGGAAAGCCACAAGATCTGCTTCCTGCAACAGTGCTTTGGCTTTTTCCACGCGTGCATCTCATCCCTGCTTTTCTTAGAAACTGAAAGGGCTTCCAGAAAAGCCCGGAGTAAAATTACGTGCACTTTACCCTTTATTATGGGCAGCCTCGCAAGACCTATTGTTCTGAACACAAGAACAATCAGGAGTTATTTTAAATAAAGATAATGCTCCTAGAAACTTGTCCGGGTGCCATCAGCATGCTGTTGTGATGGGCTCGTGGATGTTATCTTACCTCAGCTTCGTTCTGAGGGTAAAGGAAATGCCACTCAGAGCAAAAGCAGCAAAACCACGCGGCGCTCACCGCGTTTCACAGCAAACACGAGGCCGAGTTCCTAAACTCCAGGCTGGAATCGCGCCCCTACTGTCTGCCAGCTGAGGTCTGCAGAAAGCTTAAAAGGAATGAAATCGTATTCCATTACACGGTTGATTTATTCAGTGTTTTCCCAATCAATTCCCCTCATTTGCAGTGGGCTGAAGCTGGCACGAGCAGCCCGGGCTACCCAGCCGTAAGGAATGCCTTTGAAGCAGCTTTCTCAAATGTCACCTCGCTGCCTTTATCCGAGCCTCAGCTATTAAGATAAGCGGGCGTTTGCTCTCAGGAAATATCTGGGAAGCAATAAAATACAAACCCTAGCCATGAGTTGGGGTTCAGCCCTCACTTCTGGGCAGTTGATGTGATCTGCGTCTCCTCCCTCTGCCTAAGCTCCTGGATTCCTGGGGGCTGCCCCTGTGACACTTCCCTCCCGAAGGCTAAGCCAGAGAAACGTGCAATGAAATAGGGCAGAAATATGCCGAAATCTGGCAAATTTTGCCTTTTGCAGTAGAAACTGCACGTGGTCATAACCCCACAAAAAAGAAGTCAGCCTGGGACAACTCGTATTTTAATATAAACTTAATTCTTAAATCAATATACCTGCTACTGTACGCAGCTATACCACCAGGGAAAGAAAGCCACTGGGCACTAACCAGGAACTTACTGAGATCCGAAAGGCTCCCGAGAGCTGTCTGGGTTTGAATCAGACCCTAGAACAGCAACCCCTGGGTGCAGAACAGCATAAACCAACCTTGAGTGCAAGCAACTCAGTGCTGCTTTTAAACTCGGACAACCAAGATGCTGCACTTCCTCGAGCAAGAAATAAAAAGCCCTCAGAAGGCAGCACCAAGCGTCTCTCGTACTGAGCACCTTGCTCCTCGCACGTCAAAAACTCGCTGCAGTGGTACTGAGGGCTGCTCTTCTGCAAAGCTCAGGCTGTTCGAGCGCTGACGGCGAACAAAGCCCGAGGAGAAGATGATGCAGGCAGTGGTGAATGGCAATTTGCTGCAGGGAACGCAGCAGGTTGGTGAGACAGCAGAGGAAAGAAGATTAGGGAAGGGTAACAAGCTTAGTTTCCTTTGAAGACTACATGGTTGTATGGTGCTGTTGGATCTGTAAATACAGAATCACAGAGTGCTTTGGGTTGGCAGGGGGCTCAAAGCCCAGCTAATCCTACCCCTGACATGTGCAGGGACCCCTCCCAGCAGCCCAGGCTGCCCCCAGCCCCATCCAGCCTGGCCTTGGGCACTGCCAGGGCTGGGGCAGCCACAGCTCCTCTGGGCAGCCCGGGCCAGGGCCTCACCTCAAGTCCAGGGCTGTGAGCTTGCTGCGAGCCCTTCTCACTGCCCTAAGGGCTTTTTTCTCACCCAAATTCTCCTTTGGCAGGCAGAGCTCTCCGCTCACACACATTTCTAATCGATGACAGCTTTAGATGCGCTGCACTTTAGTCCTCTTGCAATCATGGCAGGGGACATACACGATTAATGAAAGCTCTTGAAGTAAACACACAAATCACTTCTGAAAGCGAGCTGGTTAACGAAGGTTAACGAAGCTATGCCAGAGGGGTGACGAAGCCCATGAAGATGTCGCCCTTGGAGGAGTTCACAAGCGGTTACGTTGCTTGGTTGTTGAAACATCTCTTCAGGAAACCCCACTAGGACACGCAACACGAAGCACGGGTTACCTCACATCAAGCTGCTGCGGGGGAGGCACCAAAACTCCTCCCCAGCCACTCGGAAAACCCTTTTTTTGCCTTTTTTTGAACCGCGGAAGAGGCTGGGAGGTGTGAGTGCTGGAGCAGCCGCTGGGGGCTGGAGCCAGCCCTGCAAGCAGCGCTCCTCTCCCCGAGTTAGCTCCCGATTTCATCTCCTGAAGCTGCGATTTCCTAAGCTGAAGTGGGGGAATGGCAGTGCCTGCGTGGCCGCGCGGTGTTTATGCAGGGCGCTATTTTAGTCCCGTGAATTAGAAGCAGTCAGGAACAGGGCGAACTGGTGACAAGTTGGCATGGCTGGGTGGAAAGTTACACAAATTCAGTTACACAAGTTTCGCCTGGCCTGAAGTATCCCCGTTTTATAAATAGATAAAGCGAGAGGGGGTTCGGCAGCTTGCCCGGCATCAATTAGCGAGTCCCCGACGACTTTGTGAGATCTCCATCTCCTCCAGCCACCAGGCAACGCCTGGAAATTGCAGGTGAGCGAGTATTTGACAGTATCGTTGGACATCCCAGGGACTAAAATCAGGAAAAAAGGAATTGTTTTGCACCCAGGCTCAGCAGGATGCTAACATGACGCCTGCGTGGTTCTCACCTGCACCTTGGCAGAGCGTGCCTCCTCTCCCATCCATCCCAGGCTACCGAGAGCCTGTTGCTCTGTCTCGCAATAACCCACAGGACCTGCACAGCTCAATAAGCTCACGACTATGAAACCTTCCTGGCTGGGAGAGGAAGCCTCCTGCTTTACACTGCAGGACTGGAAGCGATGCAGTTTGTGTCGGCAGGAATGTTTTTACCCACGCAAGTCTTTAGACTCCGCGGAGCCAGTAAATGCCAGGGCACAGAGGTTTTGTGTTCTGATTAAAAAAAAATAATACAGTAATTGCCATGGAGCACAAAAGCACGCAGCTATCTCCATTTACACTGCAAGCACCGCCAGCATGGCCCAGAACAATGGTATCTGGGAAAGAAAAGTCCAGCTCGTGAGAGGACAGATTAATTCAGCGGGCGAGGAAACACTCCAAGCCGAGAAAGCGATACGCTCGGGATCGTAACAGGCTCCAAAAGCTTGGTGCCAAGCCACAAGCCCAAAGCAGTGCCCTTGGAAAAAAAAAAATCGAAAAGAAGTGATTTCGGATAAGGGAGCAGCTTTAGCTCAGGTCTGGGTGGGCAGCGGTACCTGCTGCAGGCAGTTTTATGCCCTGGTTCAGTGGCTGCACATTTTGAAAAGGAGCAGAGTTAAAAATAGTCATGAATAAAAATACCAAGTCCTAGGAGCCGGGGAGGAGCTTTGAGCTGGGTGTTTGTGCAGGCCATTAGAGGAATTTTTAGAACTCGGACTTGGAGCAAACGCCTCTGAACTGAGAGATTGCTCCTCCAGCACGCTGCCTGCACCAGCCACAACCTCCGGGTGCTGCTGAAGTGGTTTCACAGCCAAAGTGCATCCCTCAGCTCAGAAGTGCAAGCAGGACCTGAGCGCAGTCAGGCACACCTTCATCACCTCGCTTCTTCTGCTCAGCCTTACCAGCCCGTATCAGCAAAAGAGCCTTTTAGCTTCCAGGGAGCACAAACAGAATTGTGTAACACTGCAGCAAGATTGCTGCCATGAATCGTGTGCAGGGAAGGCTCCCCAGTGTGCCTTACGTGAAGTAAAATCACCGCCGTGTTGTGGAGGCACAGTGCCAGCAGCGGAGTTTCCTCCATCACGGGTCAGGCGGTTTCTATGAACCTTCCTAAAAGCAGCTCTTTGGTTTCAAAGGATATGCAGTTTAGGATTTGCATTCCTTACATTTAGGATGCACATTTCTTCAGACACAAATTGTGTCAAGCAGCAGCGAGCACACAGGAACAGGAGCGTGCAAAGGCCAAACACTAAAGGAGAACTTCTCCCCACTACTCCGGGTAGCTTCAGGCAGCTTTGATACAGGAACAAAAGGGAAAGGATCCATTATAAAGCGCTGAAGTCATTTTTTCCTACTAAACTATTTGCATTTTTTACGTGCAGCAGGCCAGCGCCTCCAAGGGAGGTGCCCCATTTACTCTTAACCTCAGGCTTCGTTCCACAGCTGATCAAGGTTTTTTTTTCTCCCCTGGTGGTGTAACTTTCCAGCGAAACTTCAATACATTCCTTCCATGGGAATGCGGTGATGTCATCCGGATGATAATTGAGGCAGCCAATTAGTGACCAAATTATTCATAAATTTCATTGAGCTTGTCAAAGGCGGGTGCTTTGATCGTGTCGAAACAAAACTCCTTTTATTTGGGCTGGCTTGCTCCCAGCATTTTTTTTTCCCCTCCTCAAAAAAATCCACGAGAATCTTTGCTATTTCATCCCGGGTCGGGAGGAAAGGAAGCTGACGTGTTAGAAATTCCCACAGAAAAAAAATGTTCACGGTTTGCCCACATCAGGCTCCTCTCTAGCGTTCGGCCATTCATTTATTTTTGTTTCTTTCAAGCCATCGGCTGCTGTCACAGAACTTGAAGCGCTTCCTGGCGCTGCCGCGAACTTGTTGACCTCGGTGGAGTTCAGTTTTCCTACTTGGTGGCAGGGAAGATTACAGAATTACTCCTCCTGCATGTTTATGCAGAGCAAAAATTTCAAAAAGGGAACTTTGCACATCTCGCTGGGTTGCTTTCACAGAATATGCAGAGAGAAGGATTTCATCATTTAAGCGTTGCGCATATAAACCACCAGTAGACAGCTCGGTTCAGGGGAATATCCCCAAATCCCGAATAAATTAAACCCTTTAAAATTCACAAAGGCAAAGCAAGAGGTTTTGTGAGAGTTATTATGAGGTTTTAAGTCAGCCTTAAAATTACCCATCAACTAAACATTATTTGGCGGACAAAAATACACGAAAAGGCACCTAGCACCTTAATAAAAACCTTAATTAAACAGTCATGCCCTGGCACCCTTGTGGAAGAGAAACACAAGCAGCTTTCTCCTGGGCTGGCTGAAACGCTAGAATAACATGGCATTGCTCTAATGCAGCAGCTATTTACAGCCTCTCCCTGCATATAATCTAGCATTCTGTACGATTCCAAACCCTAAATCTTGGCCCCATTATGGGAAAACCTTAAAATACCCTTCAAAAACTTTGCAGCGCAACCCATCCTGCCTCCTAGTGGAAAATCCATGCCCCTCGTACCAAGGTCCAGGCGCAGACACACACCAGGGGGTTTCACACCTCTCAGCTCTGTCCCCGGATCCGGCAGCTGAGCTCCCCACGTGGCTGCTTCCAGGATGTTCACTTTGCCCCACCAGCCAAAGGATTTAATCACGCTGGCACTCATTGCACCAAAAATCAGTAGTTTAAGATATCAACATGCAAAATTCTTATTTTATTAAAAATAAACCAACTGCGAGGCTTCTTGAAGCTAACATCTCCACATAGGTTTGCCCATTCAACCATTTCTTCAGACGCACGGCTATGCCCAAAGCTTTCTCAGAGTGATTAGGAAAAAGTTACCTGCAATTTGCACCTGAGCCATCTTCTCCGAGAAGAATATTTCCTGCTTTCACATCCCTGCGGAAAGATAAAGCAGCGGTTAAGTGGAACTCATTAAACCTGTCCTTCACCCAACAAAAATGTCATCCAACTTCGTTATTTCTCCTGCATTAGCACCTCTCGCTTCGAGTCCCGCAGAAGCAGCAGGCACTTAGCACCAGCTGTAACTTCAGCAGATGTTAAGTGGTCTCCTCGTTATTTATAGCTAGGAGCATTTTAAGAGCTATGGATACAAAGAGAGTGAAAAAAAAATTAACAGAAAGTTCCCTAACACAAAAAAAAAAAAAAATCCAGCAAACCAAGTGGTTTGTCCCAGGTTCTTGATTTAGCTATTTTTCTGGAAGCAGCACCTGGTTCTGGCCTTACAGGAGGCAGTCCAAGCCAAGTGAAGCAGCTTTATACCTTCAGCACCTGCACGACCTCTAACTTTGCATCCAAAGCACGCAGACCCTGTGCAGACACACACCGGGAGGGCTGCGAGCAAAGCACCCGCCTGGGGAACGGAGGCAGCAGCGAAATAACATTTCACCACGCACCTCGCATTAATCTGCATGGAGAAAGGAGGGGAAAAAATGGAAAAAAATAATTTAAAAAAGCACATTCTCCCCCCACCTCCTACAAATATCCCAAATCCTTGTGCAGAAAAAGGCAGGAGTTACTTTTCTCTCCTCCCTTGTGCACCATGAGCGCAGAACTGGCACGATGGCCTGGCCAAAGCATCCCCGAGGTCTCCTCCTTCCTGGCGTCCGAGGACACCTGGGCTGCTGCCAGGGTAATTTTCAACACATCCTCTCCACCATTTGGGCCTGCTCGGTTCCTCCCAATATCCAGAGGAAGATATTGGCATGGGGAGAGTCCCCCCCGCACGGAGCAGGACAAAAGGGAATAAAAATTCCTCTCCGTAAGGGCCAGAGAAGACGGTTTTAACAGCAAAGCAGCGCTGCGAGCTGACTTCAGCCTTCAAAGCAGCATTTCAAGCCCTGCCAAACGCACACCTCCTGCCAGCAGGGACCATCCGAGGGGCCTAATTCATAGCTGAGGCACAAGTGTAAAAGGAGAGGAAAAATACTTGATTTAATGATGAAGAAAACATAGATAGAAATGCAGGGAAACACTGAGGTTGTATGGGGAGCCAGCCTCCAGGAGCTGATTTAAAAGCAGAAGGGGCTTCAAAGCAGCAAGGAGATGTGACGGTGCCACGGGAATAACCAAACCTAAAAGAAATCCCTGATGGTCACCCCGAGACCTGCCCATTTTCCACATTCTCCTCCCGCAGCTGGGAGCTGCAGCCACGGCAGACCATCAGGCAGCAGCACGTGGGGACCCTCCAATTAGGCACCTTAAAACCATCCTTAAGACAAATTAATTAAGTTTAAAGCAATGAGGAGGGGAGAGGGAATAGTGGTTTCCTGTTTATCCTCTCCAGGAGATGCTCAGAAATTCACCTGTTGAATAGTGAGACGTGTTAGTCCCTCCAGGCCACGGTTACTGCCAAGTCCAGGAGTCTGAAGGCAGTTCCTACTGGCGTGGCAATGCCCCTGTCCTGGGCTGACAGGCTCGGAGTAAACCGTGTGCCTCGGGCATAATTACCGAACTGGAAACGGGAAGCAGGAATTATATCACGTTTTAGATGAAGTTACAGAAGGCTGGAGCAAATGTTTTCTTTTCAGTAGCTTAACAAGCGCACCCATCATTCGGGATGTTCCCACTCCACTGCTGCCGCCTTCCTCTCTCCTAATGCCTCCAGGAGCCCTTCCCCAAAATCCTGACTTTGTTTTTATTTACCATGCACTTCATGCCAACAGGGAAGAAGGGTTTGGACTCCCTCCAGTGCAAATCCTGATTCTCCACCACCTCAGCCTTGAAAGGTTTCCCAGCAGGGCAGAAATGCCTCCTCTCCTCGTTTGCATTCTGAACTGGTTCAGCTTCCCAGAGCTACCCAACCTTACGGTTTCACTTGCATCACATCAACGCCTCCAGGCTGGGGCTGGGCCGCAGGCATTTGGTGCTGTATAAACAAAATTGATCCCTGATCCAGCAAAATCAGCATCCAGCTACAAGAGACCTGGAAGGCAACGTGGGGATGCTCTCCAGTTGCAAGTGTAGCACTTCCATGCAGCCCCCATTTCATTTTTCAACAGACAGGAGAAAAAATCAGATTGGAAACCACATCCTAATGGGCTTGTTTCCTCTATGAAAAGCCCACTCGATCCCTTAAAATCCTTAGCGATCAGCTCTGCCTTCTTGGCACTGTCCCGGTGTTGTCACTGCAGGGACGTTAGGGTTAAAGGCAGACTTGCTGCCCCGAAATGGAGCATGACATTTCCAGCAGCCAGCTGAGAGCCTGCAGGCCCGGTGTACGCAGCACAACCCCGCAGCACAGACTTCGAAGAATTTGCCAGCAAAGCAACGGAGCATGACAAGTTATTGCTTTTTGAATAACCCTCTTCATATTGTTTGGAAATCAGAAAGGATTCGCTTGGCTTGTGCTCAGAAGTCTTCTTCAAGAGTTACAACTGCGACAGCAACGTAAGGCCGCTGAAAATGCAGGATGTGTAAGGGACCTGAGCGAAGCGTGGCATGCCAGGACTCCTGCAGCCCAGCAGCAAAAAGAAAACTGCAAAGTGAAGGGGAAAAAGGAAAAAAAAAAGCCCTGATTATGAAGCCTTGCTGTGCCTTCTCTTCTAAGCTGCCTGTATGTGCCTCTAGGACGCGGTGCTGGCTGTCAGCGCGGCCGTGAGTCATCTGCCCATTGGATGTGATTTACATCAACTGCACCCAGAAACGTTCACGGGCTGAACTCCGCAGCGCGTAATTTGGCATGAAGGAGGCGCGGCTGGTCCTGCCAAGTTTCATTAAAAAAAAAAAAAAAGGTGCGAGATAGAAGAATTACTGCTTTCTGTTACCGGTAATGAGCAACTCGGCATTTATGGATGCAACCCATTGCTGCAGCCAACGTTATTCCGAGTAATTTGCAAAATGCTTCCAGGACAGGCTCTCTGCTTTGTTAAACACAAAGCAATTTGGGGTGTTATACACCAAAGAGCACCGTTCTCTCCCCACAATCAACCACCTGACTGGTTTCAGTGCTGTTACCTACGTTACCTCTTCCCCTTGCCTTGCAAGGCAGGACACAAACAGTTACAGGAGGCGCCTTATCACTCGAGACAGCGCTGCAAAATGGCAACGAGGCTTGGCACAGCAGGATTTTTATGCTCCCCAAAGCCAACGCGTTCAGCTTCACGTAGGAGACGTTTGAGACAAGTGTGTTGGAAGCGCTGGAAGTCAGAGCTCTCCCGTTCTCGCTCAGCAAAGCCACGCTCACTAATATTGCCCTGCCCTAGGGGTGAGCCTGAAGTATTAAACTTCCAGGTGAGATGCAATTACTGACCTGCACGGTGCGGTACTGAGTTCCGCAGGGGTGGATTTGGGAAGATATCCCAATGCCAGAGGGCTTCCAGCAGCACGGAGCGGGCAGAGCAGCGTCCTGCTCCTCCCTGCACCCACCTGCAGCAGCGGGGAGGCTGAGAGCTCGTAGGGAAACCCAGGATTTATTTCAAGTCTCATACACGTTAGAAGTATTTTTAAAGCCTCCAATTCGCATTGGTAAGAGGACTTTTCCCCTCCAGTGCTGCAGAAGTGGGCTGCTGCTTGAAATCCACGGTTTGGGGTCCCAGGAGCCATGACTCAGAAGCCCGATTCACTTCAGGTTAAGTCACTGCTTCGGCTCAGACATGGGGGAGCGCAGCGAAGCAAGCTGCTGGAGATGTTCCTGAAATCTGGGCTGTCATCTTGGCGAGCCGAATAGCTCCGAGGACTTGCAAGATGCTGAGGCAGGACAGAAAACGTTGAGCTAAGTCAGCACGAGGCTGACAAAGGCAGACAGCGTGGGGTGAAGAGTGCCACATCACTTACTGCCTCGCCGTGTCAAACGCCGTTATCACAATGGCTGCAACTCGCCTTTATCTCAAAGGATGATGTCCAGCTTACGCCTCTTGCTCCTGTGCCAACTTTGATGGTTTTCCTTCTCTTCCCACGTGCTTACGAGCCGTGTGATGGTTAAAACAGAGGTGTGGTGCGGTGACAGATCCTGTCTGCCTCGGTCTTTGCCTCCCACTGCCGTGCCTGAAGCCCAGCATCAGCGTTCAAGCTGAACCACTCCTCGGTGCAGGGGCAGAAAACTAACCTTCAGAAGTCTTTCAGGACAGATCGGCGCCTTCAGGAACATGAAGAAATGGTGCAAGCACTACACCTCGCCCTGCCACCAAGCACCGAGATGATCTAATCACAGAAACCTCCACAGCCCTGCTTCTTCCTCCTGAGGATGTTTCACGAACTTGCCCTGCTGCACATCGCTGTTTGGTGGCGTCACACAAGCACAGGAGATTTGGGATTTCTCCCATAAATTCACCTCCTCAGCCCTTCTATTTCCTGAGCCGACTTCCTCTGGAAGGACGGCAGCGGGGAGGAGAAGCAGGGTGTGTAGCTATACACACAGCCACCAGCATCGGTAGGTAATGGAGAAGGGAGAAATCCGAGACACACAGGGCTGGCAGGAGACATGCCCCTTTGACTTTCTGCTCCACAACCCAGAATAAGATGATTTTAGAGGAAAGATCTCCTTATTTCATCCCACTTTGAAAGTTAAGGCAGTTAAAAATGGGGTGAGTTTCCATTGTAAAGTCACCTTTTAGTAGAATCATAGAATCATAGAATATCCTGAGTTGGAAGGGACCCTTAAGGATCATCAAGTCCAACTCTTGACACCGCACAGGTCTACCCAAGTTCAGACCATGTGACTAAGTGCACAGTCCAATCTCTTCTTAAATTCAGTCAGGCTCGGTGCAGTGACCACTTCCCTGGGGAGCCTGTTCCAGTGTGCAACCACCCTCTCTGTGAAGAACCCCCTCCTGATGTCAAGCCTAAATTTCCCCTGCCTCAGCTTAACCCCATTCCTGCGGGTCCTGTCGCTGGTGTTAATGGAGAAAAGGTCTCCTGCCTCTCGACACCCCCTTACG